TCAATAACATTGACCAACATACGTAAATGTAATTCTTTTATTGTGATTATGTACACATATGTGACTTTTTTAGCATGCAATGTGGTAATTTTTCAGAAGGTGGTTTTCCAGAAACAGCAGCTGGTGAGATGATTTTAGATATTTTAAAGTTTGAATAAATCAACATTAAAAGTTGTGTCCAATTATAATTAGATAATTAGGAACCAAAACAAATGCTTTTTAAGTACTTATTACATGATGCCTTTATAGATATTTTAAAAAAGGCATATGATTCAATTAATGGAGTATTTATATTGAGCAAATTGGAAAACTTGGGGATCAGTTCAAAATTAATGTATGCCCTTAAAGGGCTTTAATCAAAGTAGCGTGCAGTGTACGTCTTAATGGTATTATGACGGAATGGTGAAACTGGTTTGAAACAAGGTTGACGTATATTATCGTCTGTTATGTTTACATATATATAAACACTCTGATGATATAAATGGATATAGGAAGATGTGGTATGAGTGCCAATGAGACAACCCTCCATCCAAGTTACAATTTATAAGGTAGTAAACCATTATAGGTCAAGGTACGGCCTTCAACACGGAGCATTGGCTCACACCGAACAGCAAGCTATAAAGGGCCCCAAAAAATTACTAGTGTAAAACCATTCAAACGGAAAGACCAACGGTCTAATCTATATAAAAACGAGAAACGAGAAACATGTATGAACTACATAAACAGACGACAACTACTGTAATCAGATTCCTGACTTAGGACAGGTGCAAACATTTGCAGCGGGATTAAACGTTTTAATGGTACCAAACCTTCTCTTTTTTTCTGAAACAATAGTATAACATCATAACATAGAAAAACACACTATAAAATATCAATTGGAAGGCTTAACTCAATCAAAAAACGTAAATTAACACACAATGAACGAATAAATTTGACCTGTGACACCTGAACGCAAATACACAGTTAATAAAAAAATTACAAGGGATAAATAGTTAAAGTCAAAAGTAAATAAACAGGTTTAAACATAGTTAAAGTATGATATCACTGTGAAATTTCAAACAATTTATAGAAAATCATCATGTACTTTTGAAGAAACCTGCGTCATATTATACACAGGTAAATGAAAATAATTTTGTTGTTAAGTATACTTCTTCTTCTGTGTGTATAAAATCTTCCGTTTAGGAATACCAAGAAATTTCTTTAATATCAATAAAACTAATCTAACACTTGGTACATATGGGATGAATATCAACAATAAAAATATACAATTAGTGCTAGATAAAACTTCCTGTACAGGTCCAAGAACAGCATCTAAGGAAAAATGAAATAATTTTGATGTTCATAGTACGAAGAAGTGAAAAATTGTAGTAATTAAATACCAAATAATCAAATTAACTAATTACTATATTGGTATATAGACAAGATCCATGTTAGCATTAAATAACAAAAAAGCATTACAAATAGTATCAACAGGTCAAATTAAAAAGAAAGTACGATTTGAGAGTACTCGCAGTTACTGACAGCTAGTTAAAAGCCAAAACAATTAATAATAAAAAAAATCATGCATCAGAGACTAAAATCAACTAAAATACATCCCAGGGATTAAGTATTTTAACGTCAAAGAAGACATGACTTGTGCAATGCCAAAAATAGATGTATCGACAGGTAGTAAGATAGTTAGGAGTGACTTCTTTATAGATAAAAAATGGTCTAGATGTTGGTAAAAATATTGATGATGAAAAATTAGCAATTGTATTGTATGCTGATGATATGGTATCAATAAAGATTTACAGAAAATGTCAAATATTCTTAACAATTGGTGTATCACTAATGGACTTAATGTCAGCATTAATAAGTCCAAAATTATGCATTTTAGAAATCCATATGTACCTCGGACTGAATGTAGTTTTGCAATAGGTAGTAATGCAATGGAATGTCTTAATAACTATCAATACCTGTGATTGTTGTTTAGACTATCAATTAATGGCTAAGGCAGTAGCTAAATCAGCCAGTAGAGCATGTGGTTTATTGATTGTAAAAAGTAAAACACATGATGGTTTCCAACATGATATTTTTTCTAAATCATACAACACTATGGTCTGGTCAGTTATTGATTATGGGTCGTGTATTTGGGGTACACGCGATTACTCATGTAATAATGCTGTCCAAAATAGTGCCATAAGATTTTTTTATATACCCCAAATGATGCCATACATGGAGATATGGGTTGGAAACCACCATCTGTAAAACAATGGACAAGTGTATTTAGACATTGGACAAGATGTACAAATATGAGTCATGACAGAATAAATTTTAAAGTTTTCAAATGGTCGATGAAGAAAGCTAGAGGTAGAATTAAGAATTGGAACCATAGAGTTATGGAAATGTTTAAAACTCATAATGTTCAAGACTATTTTAACTTTGAAACCAATGCATTAAATAATATTTTATAAATTGATAATATAATGTTTGATAAATATAAAATAGATTGGAGTAATAGAGTATCTACGTATGCTCAAGGTAATAAACTAAGAACATATAAGTTATTCAAATATGATTATTGTACTGAACTTTACTTAAAATGTAAATTGCCACCTAAATTTAGGAGCACTTTTACAAAATTTAGATGTGGCGTTTCTCCCCTTAGAATAGAAACAGGAAGAAAAATATTGTAATAATAGTATCGAAGATGAACTGCATATATATTAAAATGTCCACTATACGAAGATCTTGGACGTATATATTGTTTTATGAAGCTGCAAATTTTAATGTGGATTTTAACGTTTTATCAGATAATGAAAAGTTGATTGTATTATTCAATAACGATAAAGTTTTTGAAAGTGTGGCCAGAACCTGCTATAACATTTTAATCAGGAGAAATGTTTTTTTATATCATTAATTATGCTGTATTTTAATGATATTATAGTCTGACTCAGACTATTTGCTGGGTATTAAATGAAGATTCAAGTCGGTATAAAGTTTAACAATTTAATAAACGATCCAACAAGAATATAAACGATGTTACAATATTGAGTCCGGTATTTACGGTTCGAGAACCATTCCAAAACTGAATATAAATTATTTTTAAGAAGTATATAAAACAGAATAATAAAGAAATACATGTAACTACGGATTAAGCAATTATTGTCCATTGTTTAGATAATCTGCTAAAACTGTCTTTGACACGTAGATACGAAGTCCATTATCGGATTAGTAGAAACATACATTTTTAACCAAAAGATAATTGTGTGGGAATATTTGAGCTAGTAATGACAATTAAAAGATATAATAATTAAAGTCCGAAAGATGATAGTCCAAATAATTAACATGCTTTTCATCCGGTCATAATATTCTTAAACAACTATATTTCATATATAATATGTAAATTATCAATCTGTATTTAAATATTGCTAGTACAGTCTCTCATAAATCTTTTAAGATTGACACATACAATGTTAATGTAATGTTTCTTGTTATCTGTTTTATGTACCTGTATGAATATTTTATTGTGTAAATATATGTAATTGTATGTGGTGAGACTATAATAAAAATATGAATCGGAATCGGAATCTGCCTGTTAAAAATATTTGAAATTTATTGCTAATTCTTAAAAAAACATTATATTACATTATATTGGCTCTCAATAATGACGACTTCAGTGTGTATACTGAAGAAATTTATCCTGTTGAACTTACTTTAAATAAAGCTAATACAAACAATGACCACTGTCCTTAATTTTCCTCGATCTTGATATCTATATCATAAACGGGAAGCTTAATACAAAAATTTATGATAAAAGAGATGATTTTTCATTTCCTATCGTTAATTATCCATTTTTAGATGGTGACGTTCCCTTGTCACCATCTTATGGTGTTTATATATCTCAACTTGTACGATTCGTTCGTGTTTGTAACAACGTAGTAGATTTTAGCGAAAGAAATTTATGTTTTACTGAAAAATTATTACACCAGGGTTTTCGATATCATAAACTAGTCAAAACATTTACTAAATTTTATCATCGGTATAAAGACATCATTCGTAAATATAACTCAACATGCAGACATCTTATACGTTCGGGTAATTCACATCCAATCTTTTATGGTAATATTCTTTACAAAGCACAAAAATGTCACCTCAAAAGCTAACAAAACCTTTAAACAGACTTATTAAGAAGGGGTATAGTTACGATACTGTTGTCAGGTCATTAAAAATTGCATGTTTTGGCTTTAATATTGATTCATTGATAGGGTCTTTGCATCGGAATTAAACTCATTTATTCTAAAACCAGTTGTTGGCATGACACGGGTTATGTTCTTCTCATATATTTTATGATCATAGTATAATACTAAACCCCTAACAGGAGGGATTGTGCCTGATATTCATATGATGAAGACATAATCTTTCAATCAGTTTAATTGAGGTCTGGAGCTGGCATGTCAGTAACTACTAGTAGTCTGTTGTTATTTATGTATTATTGTCATTTTGTTTATTTTCTTTTGTTTCCTATTCTGACATCGGACTCGGACTTCTCTTAAACTGAGTTTTACTGTGCGTACTGTTGTGCGTTTGTTTTTTCTACATAGGCTAGAGGTATAGGGGGAGGGTTGAGATCTCAAAAAACATGTTTAACCCCGCCGCATTTTTGCGCCTGTCCCAAGTCAGGAGCCTCTGGCCTTTGTTAGTCTTGTATCCTTTTTAATTTTAGTTTCTTGTGTATAATTTGCAGTTTAGTATGACGTTCATTATCACTGAACTAGTATACATATTTGTTTAGAGGCCAGCTGAAGGATGCCTCCGGGTGCGGGAGTTTCTCGCTGCATTGAAGACCCATTGGTGGCCTTCGGCTGTTGTCTGCTCTATGGTCGGGTTGTTGTCTCTTTGACACATTCCCCATTTCCATTCTCAATTTTATTATGTCGTTCGTCAAGCTTAATTTTACATTTCATTAGTTGAACTTTGTGTCCACAATAATCTGGACGTTTAAAACATGTATTTTACAGGAATAGCTACGATAACAATTATATCTGTTGGTGGCGCTGTTCTTACTTCAATTGTTTTATTCAAGATAATTAAAAAAGTCTCATACTTACGAATGTTGAAAACAGTTGCTATACAGGTAATCTTACAATAACAATCTAGAAATGATTGCTATTGCATCAGATAAAATACAAGCACATATAATATTATTCAGAATAATATTAAAAAAGAACACTCACGTTAAAATTTTCACGTTATCTCATTCAACTATTCCACATGAACTCTACATATACATGCATTTATACAAAGGATCAAAAACGGAAGACAAGTAAAATGATATGAATCTGTTTTTAAGATTTAAAAAAAATATGGCACTGCTAGAAGAGCATCATTATCCGTAAGTGACCGGTATGTCTTGTATTAGCTTCAAATTATAAAATTTAATTGGTACATGTAATCATAAGTGAATACAAACATCGTTTAACTTATATGATTAATACATCTTAATATATTTGATAATGATTTATTGACCTTTTGGAAATGCAACCTACGTATACAAATAAAAAGATATGTAGGGTATACGCCAATTAAACAGCAACATAAACAAATAACCAAACACTGTGTTGAGTTTTATACAAAAGACAGGAGTCCGTACAATATTGCAAGCTCCTTGAAGTGTATATTCATCATTTTATAGATTTTCATGTATAAACGTTGAAGCTCTGAATAGCATGTATAGTTTTGAAAACCAAACATTTTGTCTATCAACATTTGTTCCTTTTTAATTTTTTACTTTTTTGCTTTGTTATCACAGGATGTTGAGACTGTTGTTAATAATGCAGAAGAAGACAAGGAGGCCACACAAGGCATTGATGATGAAGGATTTGTGTCAGAAGTATCTCAACAATGACAAAAAAAAGCTCCAATTCAAAGTACTATGTAAAATAATTCATCAATTGCTGATAATCTTTACTGTTATAAGTAGTATATATTTCAAAGCCACAATGACAGAAAATCACAAACCATCAAAGTCTTGTATACTATTTTCGTAATATACAAAAATGTCTTTTGAATAAAGCAAATCAACTTTATTACTTTAGCTGTGTTTGTGGTGTTAATTTTATGTGTTTGTGTGGAAAAACCCCTAGCTTTTCACTCTTTTTTTTATCTTAAATGTTTTAAGAGGGAAAATATTATGGCACTCATTGATGCTTCGATTGATATAAACGTGTCACATTTTTTTGGAATATTTTAGTCCCGTTCAATGATATGAGCTCCACGAGGTTGATTTGGCGATGTTAAATAAATATTGTTTATTCATATCAAGTTGTGAGCTACAGTGGGTTTTTTTTCCTAAGAGAAGTAAGAAGTTATCTTAAGATGAAAAGCAAAAACAAAAAATAGGTAGAACTGTTTTGGTAGACTAATATCTTCCCTTTATCTGTAGAGGTCACTTCAGTAAAAAAAAGGCCCAACAACCACATTTTAGTACTGAAAGGATATTTTCATCGAAAATCAGAATATATATATATCTATATGTCTAATGGATGGGAATCTTAACTGATTATATATGGGGCATGACCATCAACAAAACATTGTACTCAAAGGTGTTATCATGCTTATTAAGAATATATTATATGGTTTAGGGATAAGGTTATGAACAGTTTTCAAGCTATTTAATTGTCAATGGTATACAGGGCGGGGTATATCCACCAGGACCAAACTTTTGGTCAACTAGAAAGTTTAATTATGGATATTAAGATGATAAATGGTTTATGGTGAGGATTGTTTTAACCATTTTTATATAGATTTCAAATTAGTTATATAATTGTAGGGGCATGACCCAAGGGAAAACCCACAGAAAAGGTTTTTCATGTCATGGAGAAAATATATGGTCTTAAGGTGAAGAAATAAAAATTCAATATCACCTTGACCTTTTATTTGACCAAAATGAACAAAGGTCAAGATCATTGTCCATGGTACGCGACACAATATATCGAGATGCTGCACCCATGTACAAAATAATATCGAAGGCGTATCTCAAAAGACAAAAAGGGATGTTTCAGACACGAAAATGCAAAAGCAATCAAGTACTTTACATTGAGATCAAAGTTCAAGGTTAGATAACGGTTATGATGATATGAGACTTACCATGTAATTGCAATACGCCTTCGTGCCAACACATAACGGTCATGATGATATAAGACACATCGTCTTATTGAAAGACACCTTCGTGTCAAATATTATATGACAGTGTCAAAAAAAATTAAAAAAAGTTATTCCACGGACAATGTTGTATGAGAAGCAGAAGAAATACTACACATATCATATGAAAGTATGACAGTGTCAAAAGAGAAAAAGAAGTTATTCCCCGGACAAGGTTGTATGAGAAGTTGAAGAAGAAGAAATACTACAAAAACTTCGAAAGGGGGAAATAAATATTAGCTAAAACAAGCATGCCAAGAGTATCTGCACGTCAACATTATTTAAGTTTTTATCAACGATACATGTATATTGTGACCGTCTTCAGTTCCATGTGTCGAACTGATTGTTGTTTAAAAACCTGCGTGTGGTTTAACACAAATAAAACTAATAGTATGTGTTTTAACATAAGAAGACACATGTCTGATTCAGCTGATCCATAGCTTGACATTCGATACTTTGTCATATTTTGAATGCATACCAAACCAGGAGACTTTTTATTTTTTCGTTCATGTCATATTGAAATAGAATATTGGGCCTTTCTTGGAGTTTCTAAAGTTGATGGCGGTATATGACACAAAATGTTGTCAAATTAACAAAGTATCTACCATTACCGCCACTTACGAAAATACAACTACATTAGTAATTGAGACCAAAGTTTTATTCTAAACATATATAAGATTAACAATATATAATAAAAATTCTAACAATTCATAATAATAATGACAACAAAATGATATCAGTATAAAACAAACAATCTGATTAAGTGTTGCTGCTATATTAGTAAAGTAAAATAAAAACTGGCAATTTTTTTTGATATATGATAAGAGTAGCATTTTGCAACCCTCATATCAAGGTAAAGGTTTGCTGCGCGCCCTCGGTTCTGTGTCATTGTTGTTCGCTGTTATTTGTTATTCGCCATATTGCTATAGTGTTCAACTCAGTTGATAATATAAATGTAAACTGTGTGTATAAGATATTGTTACAGCACTATTAATTTAATTTTTCTATCAAATCATTTTTTTCAAATATAATCTATCACAGTGTAAATTGAGCATCGGATCCCATTTCAAAGCGGAAGACTACGGCTTATATAAGAAATCACTACATTATTTTCTATACTGAAAGCAAGTTCTTTTTATATTTGTATTAAACGCAACTAAATTAAATTTTAATGAACAAATTGTTCTAACTATAAAATAAAATTATCAACGTCATGGCTCAATGTCAATGTTTGCGTAGCCAGTAATATCTTTGATCTCTTTGCAATCCAAAGTGACATTCATTGTTCTTTTCCCCGATCTGTTGGCCTTTATTGTCAGTGAGTGCTTCCATGTTGAATTTGCAGCAATGTCGCTATAGAATAAAATGAAATAGGATTTAGAATTGATAACTATAACGATACATTCACATAACATATCTCAAAATTAATGATCTGTAACCTTCACCTGGCGGAATACGTGTTACGTGGAGTAAAACGTTGTTGCTTTTCTTATACATTGTTACAACTACATATACATGTATGTATTTATGTCAAATGACATCACGCACACTGAACATTTAGCAATTGATCCCTAATATTCTTCTGAAAGTCTACTTTTTGTTCACACATTTCGTAAAAGTTAAACAAACCTAAAGGTCATATTAAAACATATTTTTACTGCATGTTGGTACAAGCGAAATGTTTCCCATTATGAAATTAGATGCACTCATATTTTGGTGCACTTCAAACTTTTGTCGGTAAACAGGGCAAGCTGTTGTAGTTTATTGAATAAGTTTAAGCTTTTGGCATTTTTATTTAGCTTTTCATTCAAGCAGGTAGATTGAATAAAAAGGGATCGTTAATGTTAAATTATTCACTTGAAGGGATTGATTGAATGTTGGTTGCTTAACGTCCAAGGGCAACACTTGAAATGAAGCTTAGATAAAGGCAACAGTAGTATACCGGTGTTCAAAAGTCATAAATCGATTCAGAGAAAACAAATCCTGGTTACAAACTAAAATCGAGGGAAACACATCAACTGTAAGAGGAAAACAAAGGAACAACAGGTACACTGAAGTTCAACAAAAACAAACGCCAACATACATAGAAACGAACTATTTGATAACAACTGCTATATTTCTGACTTGATACAAGACATTTTAAGAACAAATGGTGGGTTGAACCTGGTTTTATGGCTAGCCAAACCTCCCGCTTATATGACAATGTTAACAAACATCGCTTAAATGACAAGACTACGTGACAGAAATACAGTGACGCACTTACTTAACGAACATGCAATCTCGAACGTTATACAATTTTTTTCACAATACCAGTCCCAACAATTTTCATGACAATGATGGTATTGAAAGGCAATTTTATACTTATTTGGACTACAAACGATAAGACATAACACATTATCCAACCGAAACTATATCAGAAACATCAAAAATGAATACATGAATGTTGGATGTACAAAATACCGAGACACGTCGTATAGCAATGCAAATTCATACTCGGTATAACAGTCATATTCGGGAATAGGTCACGTTCTTGTACTTAGCAGACAGACGACATAGATGTTAAACCACAATAAATGTCATAAGTTAGTTGTATATATCAACCAATTTGTGATATAAAATTTACGGAGTGTCATTTTTAATCTTTCTCCTCATAACTCTGTTGGAGCAGTTTCTGCGTAAGGAGCACACTCCTGTATATGAAGTCAGTATATAATAGTGTGAACATGCACGAGCATAACGTTAGAACAGGACGCAGACAATAATTAGAAATTTTCCTTGTAATTCAATGGAGTTTGGTAAATACAAAGTAAAATTAAACAAACAGTTAAAAAATAGCGTATTTTTTGTATAAAAATAATAGTATTGTTTACGAATATATAGATTCTACACTCACTACACCGTTGATAACGACATTTATCCACTTTAGATACTTAAATTTTCTAACTTTAAAATGCGAGTTTTAATGAGCACTTTAAAATTTCTTTATGAAAGGAAATTAAACACAGTCTTACCTGATCTTTTCTTCAACGTTCACTATACCGTTACCTTCCACATGAACAACACATTGCGTCATTGGTTTAGATAACGGGTTTTTCAGAGACACGTTTATTTCATACGGTTTGTATCTTTTTCCAGATTTTGGAGCCTAAAATATATTGGATGGTATCTGATAAGAAAGTACATGATTTCAGTCAATAAATTTCGCATGTCTTCATTGTAGGATTTCAATCTTTTCTTGTTACCCAATCATTGGAATTTTCATGGCCTTCAAAATCTAACTAGTAAACATAAACTTCTTTGTAAATTTGATTTAACATAACAATGCTTACTTTAATTTTAGCATTTATATACTTTGTATTCCTTTTATAGTTTATTATTTTCTATGTGTGCGAGACTTTCCAGGCATACTTACAAATACCTTATTTTTTTATAATGTCATTTCGTTTATCGTTACCATACCTCAACTTCTATATCTGGCCTTCTAAGTCTGAAATCATCTTCTTTAATATGTACTTTGCCGGTCTCTTTGACTTGAGCAGTAGCAGTTATATTCATCATATACTGCTCTGTGAGATGGTCTAGATAGTCATCTGGTTTCAGGGTAAACTTAAATGTTTCCTCTAAAAAAAGGTCCACTCATGTATTCATTTATTTCGATGAAGTCATTTAAAGATAGGTATTCTTAGTTTCTTAATTCATAAAAGGGGATAAACTCTATGACTGAACTTATCATGTTTGTGGCTTTTATTTCAAAACTAACTAAAGTATAATTGACCATCGTACATTCGTATAATTATATATATATAAAGAACAGTCCGTTTTTACAAGAATTAAAAATTTTTATAACAGCATTTTGAGATATCATCAAAAGGTATTGTAATATTTCGACAACTATCGTTTTAAATCGTCTGTGATAAGTTAAAAGAAAATCTAATTAACGATACCTGGGTTTAAGCAAGGAGTGTTTAACAATATCTTTGTATGAAAACTATTTTTCAATGACTTTGAATGAATATGAGATAAATTTCGTTTCTTGTGGAAACCATGAATGAAACCCATCAAAAGTTAGGTTTACAGAAGGAGTTTAGACCCCATCATAAATGTCTTTTCATATCTTTTTGCATAAAGAAGACTCTTGGTTTTGTTTGATTTGCATTATATGCAAAATATACAACACACGGGGAAATTAATAAAGAACTAAAAAATTAAATACCTTCTTCATATTTCAATCGGATGTCATTGTACCGCTTTTCAGCAAATTCGTCGCCAGTTTCACCAGTATACAGCTTTGGTTCTACACCTACATCCAGAACTGTGATGGTCCTTACTTTACGATCCTTAGATTGGTTTTTCACCTTGACCTCCACGTCAAAATTGCTTCCAAGTAAAGTACCATCTTTATGAACAATCTCCATCACCACATCCTTCAACAAAATACATGGCACTATTTAAATATCCAACGAAAAACATGATATATCATATATACTATATAATGTTCACCATATTTATAAACATGGTGGACATTATAAAATATACTACTGGCTGAACATACTAAACCTTTATATATCTCTTTAAAGAATGTATATAGAATTTTATGACGTGAGATATTGTTTACAAGCACAGCCAATTAAATTACAATTTTTTTTCTTGATCTCCATTTTGTAATCATAAGGTGACAAAAATGGGTCTGCAGCAATTGAGAAGTTTTTAATCTTATCTCGTAACGTTTGAATTTACATTATTCGTTGATACAACTTCTTGTTGAAATTACCATATGTTCAGCTTCTTCAACTTGTCGTACTTTCTTTGATGCTTTACCAGCATTTTGTACTGCTAGTCTTTCTTCTAGAGTTCCTGTCGACAAAACATATAATGAACATTTTACCTTGGAACAAAATAAGGATGATATAAATAAAAACAAAATAGTTGGTTAGCATTTGTAAGATCTGTATCTACTGGAGAATAATATGGACTCTGATGGATAGTATCATTGTCAATCATACCAAATCTCCTTTTTATAGACAAGAGAGAGAGAGAGAGAGAGAGAGAGAGAGCTATTATAAATACAATAATGAACAAATATTTCGAATAAACCTATATGACATCAGAATCTGTTGGTGACAAAGGTATTGTATCACAATCCTAAAAGTCATACAAACAGAGCACAAAAAAAGGAATATATTTCAAGAAACGACACAAACTCCCGAACTATGTAATCTTGAAAGTCATACAAATTTAACATAAAATATGGAGGGAAAATTTTCATAACCAATTTAGGGATATATCATTATAATATAATAATCAGGAATATGTATTTATAAGTAGAATACTGATAAACAAAATAAACAATTAACACAAAGATATGTCTCACTCCTTTAATTGTGTGTAACTTCTACGGATGTCATCGGTAGTTCGGCTATGAAATACGAAAATGATATTCGACTAATAAGATTCCTGTTAGGACATTGTCCCCTACTTTTCATAAAATTGGTTTTCGTGGGAACACTTGTGACTTCTTATGTTCACGCCTGTGTAAATGTGTTTTCTTTACGATTTCAAATTGTAATTGTTGTTTGATCTTTTTTGACTTATTACTTATATTCAAAACGTGTTTGATAGATTATTGATTAAAATTTAGTTTACTTAATAAGCACATGTAGTAAATCAGCTATAGATCCAGTATGGTAATAGGTAATTCGAGGGACAATTATTTAATCTCCGTTAATAACATAGAGGGGTGGGTTAACGTCCATTAAAAACCGACCCACAAAACGCAAAAAGCGTACAAACGTCTTCCAATTTTGTAGTGATTTTCCGAGCGATTATAAAACTGCCAAAAATCATTGGCTTCCATTATTTCCATTATTACTCTAAAACTCGTAATCACTGATTCAAACAAGAATGTGTCCATAGTACACGGATGCCCCACTCGCACTATCATTTTCTACGTTCAGTGGACCCTGAAATTGTGGTCAAAACTATAATTTGACATTTAAATTGGAAAGATCATATCATAGGGAACATGTGTACGACGTTTCAAGTTGATTGGACTTCAACTTCATCAAAAACTACCTTTACCAAAATCTTTAACCTGAAACGGGACAGACGAACGAACGAACGAACGCACATACCAGAAAACATAATGCCCCTACTGCTATAGTAGGTGGGGCTTTAAATCGCTGCCCCATCAACGTCGACTCCAGTATGCCTAAGTTTCGCTTCCGCAACTTCGTCGTAAACAAGACAAATAAATCACAACACCAGATTGTATTTCGAAAAAAACTAAAGGATTCATACTTTGTTCACATTCATGTCGGCCCGTTCCGAAAAAAATCTAAATGTAAACAACTGACCTCCAGAGATTCCCATACAATAAATATTAAAGTCTTGTCATTCAGATCTAAATTGTCTTGTAAAACCAGGCTGATCATCAGCTTGCAAGAGTTGTGGAAACAAACGATTTGTATATTTTAACAAATGCTGCATACCTATATTGGGACAACAACAATCATACTCTGTGATACCTATGATGGCGGTCGCCGTAGATGCTCAGTCGTATATTCGGGTTCTTAACCTATGTTTTGCAATGTACTAGTAATCTGCTTTAATTATTTGATAACAGTTAAATAAGGCTTAGCGTAAATGTACCTTCTTTGTATTTGTATTCATGTGTAATGTCAAGACGTCCATCATCTTTACCCCAATTCCATGGAAATAATGAAGTATTTTTATCGTATGGTTTACCATCTGGCTCTTTCGTACTAATATTTTTACCAACTCTGAAATATAGGGAAAGGTGAAGATGCTATATTTTTTTATTTTGATTTCTTTACCACTGTTGTGATATAAATACTTCTTACTCGTATGTGAAAGTGTGATATATTCTTTAAGGGAGCAACCATTCAACTTCAGGGGGGGGGGTATGATTGTCATCTGCTTGACCAGAATACTTTTTTTCATCAAATTGGGGATCAGAATATTTTTTTAGTAAAAAGCCATAACCCCCCCCCCCCCCCCCCCCTTTTGAAGTTAAATGGTCGTTCCCTAAATTCAAACTGTTAATTTTATAACTGTAGGTGTTTTTGTGACCAAATCAGGGTTGAAACTATAAATGTTTGATTTTACCCGACGGACGTTTTATATTTCACTTTAATTGTCAATATTTTAAATGTAAAATACCCACCTAAGTAAGGGTACTGCCAGATATAAAACCCTTTCTTAAATCAAAATGATGATATTAACGCCTTGATTAATGCTTTTTTTCAATCAAGTTCTTTAAACGAAATATGTGAAAAAAGTTATTAACGAGGGAAAAAGTTACCAATGATTTATTATATTTTGAAGGCTGTCAATTTAATCTTAGTTGAAATTCTAAAAAGAGTAAAATAAAACGATTCTACCTGGATGTGTCTACATCAAGTTTTTCCCATTTCGATGGTGAAAGTTTAACCCATTTAACAACATCAGCGTTAACCTCAGCAAATACAAATGGAAGGTCATACTGCATTCTCCCAAGTTCCCCACGCTTGATTGCAGTTACTGGAGCAGGTCCACATCTGAATACACCTGTTGTAAAAAGTGGAGTTTGCGTTAATGGGTTACATTGTTATATATGAAACTCCCAAGAAACACTTAACGATCAACATGTTGATTGTCCCAAAGCGGATTCCATCTCAAATTGTTGTTTCAATAATCTGTTGGAATTCTTTTGATATATACATGTACATTGAAATGTTGTATTGACTCATTTATTTTGATTTATCTCTCGTACCCGGTATTGTATTGCATAGCATGAACTGTAAATATAGTATCATTTACCGCCACTTAATTCCTGTGGTGTTGCATCAATGACTTGCCAACCATCATATCCGTTCCCAAGATCATTCCGTGACATCCAACACTCATTCCATACATGGAAATTCCTGTAAAATGTACAATCAAAAATATTGTTTTACTTCTTTATCATACCAGTCTAAGAGTTAACTTTCTGGCTTTTCAAAATGGAAAGATCGTTTTCTTGAACTTTCATATTTTTGTTTTTTTTTGCTGTACCTTTCGTTAATCGATATCTTGTCTTTATCAAAACAATACTACAACGGGAATATTGTTGTTTTTTTCTAAAATAAAGAGACAGAAGAAACCAAGAGGACGGTAGAAAACAACTTAATTGCTCGACTACACAAAGTTTGACCGAGAGAAACCATAAGCTTAACAAAGACAGACTTTCAATTGGTCGAAACTGTACGAAAAAGGCTGATGAAGGCTCAACCACCCTGAGTCAAATAATTTTCTTCTTTTAATGTTGGCTACGTTTTATGCTGATGAAGCTAGTTTTATTGTGAGTAGAATCATCATTGAATTGTCATCCATATTAAAACACCAGTTGCTATGCGTCAATTCATGGCCGTTGTTTGTTCTTTTATAGTCTAAAATGTATCAGATCTTACCTGTTCAAATCAATTGGCGCAAATGAAAAGTTAATAATTGGCGCGAATGACAATTTTGTTTTGGCGCAAATGAAAAAAATGATATTTTCAATATTGGCGCAAATGTCATACGCTCAATTACAATGCACCGCTGTTTTTCGGAGGATTTTAGTTAAAGGACTGGGTTAGATATACTGGAACAAAATTAACAAAACTTGAATGCAAACCGTGAACTTGTCTTGTTTGTATATATATACATACAAATTAAACTAATCTTCTGTATGTCAATGATTGTTTTTCTTTTGTCCTACGTTTTGACCAACTGTTTCTTTTTACTTTTTTTTTAGAATCCATCCTTCCTTCTGTTTTTGGCTAACTTATAGCTTTTACGTTGCTAGCGTTTTTTTTTTTTTTTTGTCTAAACCAAAGAAACTAACCATACTGAATCGCCAGTTTTAAGTCTTTTAAGTTTTCCAGTCTTTTTATCTTTTGCATATTCTTCATCAATAGCTACACTTCCATCTGAGTCGTGGGCCGAACTAAAGTTTGTTACACTCCGACACGGCAGTCCTAGTGCGCGACATACTGAAATATAACGATTAAATATTTTACATATAAATGAAGCATACTTGTGTATCAAATAATATGTTCACATGCTTTATCATATAGAACACTTCTTTTAATGGAGTTACGTACGCTACGACTGCTTTTGACATACAAATACAAAATGTAAAATGAAATAATTAACCAGACAAATTCGACAGAGCCATTATACTTTTAGTGTGTAAACAATGATCGTTTGTATAGATCTTCTTCAAGGTTTTACAAATTATATGGGAGTAGTGTAGTTGGAAATATACATATTAGTTAAAGAATATACAAACTAGTTGTAGTTATTGCTGAGAAAACCCAACACTGTCCGTATTTGACACTCTCATTAGTCTCGTCATATTTGTTGAGAATACTCTCACTGCTAGACCACATGGTTGGAGAAACTCCATCGGCATATTTGCCGCTCCAATTTCCGACCAGAACGCCACCATCATTTGCATTTACCTTCAAAAGGAATATAACTTATGATACGTTAAGTTGGACTTTATCTTTAATGTATAGAAGACAATTATCTATTTTTTTCTTTTTATTTTACAGTACACGAGGTACCGTAAATCGTATAATAGAAGAGGATTATTGAAGAGGCAAATCATTATGAATGAATGAATCAATCAATCAATCAATCAATCAATCAATCAATGTAAAATATATCAATCAATCAATCAATCAATGTAAAATATATCAATCAATCAATCAATCAATTTAAAATATAAGAAATACAAAGGCAAATAAAACTTTTTATATATGCATTCAAACTTTTTACAATTGAAATAGATGGCCACATAGTATAGAAATAAGAAGATGTGGTAAACTATGATTGCCTTTTGAGACTACTCTCCACAAGAGATCAAATGAATAGAAATTTACAACACAGGTTACAGTACGGCCTTCAACAATGAGCAAATACCATACCGTATAGTAATGCCCCAAAATGACAAATGTAAAACAATTCAAACAAGAAAACTAACGGCCTGATTTAAGTACAAAATAATAAATGAAAAAAAATATGATTTAAAGCAACAAACGATAACCACTGAATTACAGGCTCCTGACTTGGGACAGGCACATACAGAATGTAGCAGAGTTAAAAATATGAGGTTCATTTTATCTATTGTTTTTTTTTTGATGCGGAGACCGTTGGTCAAGTATTTTAAATGAGTAAACGAAATATCAATAGATACATGTATATAGTAAGTTCACTGTTTTATAGACTGTCATTAAAACAATTATGGGGCTGACACTAAAAAGATTTACGAAGATTTCCAAATGCATGATGCTTATACAATTTTGCACCTTTATCAAAGGTATAATATATAACTTACAACTTCTGTGATAGCTCTTGACAGCTTAATGGGGTCACTCATATCAATTGTTGGCTGACCACCAAAATGTTCCAATAAAAGATCCAAACTTATCTCCAAAACCTTATTTTCAAACTACAATAAAGCAATTAATAGATCGAATCAAACATGAGATAATTGCTAACAAATATCATATATGATAATTTCCGGTAAAATAATATACCGATTTTCAGTCATCAAATTATCTATTCGAATTCGTATGTATATGACCATTTCAAATCCACTGTCACTTCCGGTGCACCTACGTTCATTCCCGGTTTTTGGCGATAATCGCATCGGTCAATACAAAAATGTATTTACTTTAGTTTTTTTTTTGTGTCGTACTTTTAAGACTGCTGTTTTTCTTTTCGACATGTTTTTGCTTTGGCTATGGTTTTTAATTGTTTCCTTGGTATTTCAATTCCTTTTCAGCATACAAGCTAGGAATCTGATTAAAATATATATAAAAAAAGAGAAGTGTTGCTTATAGAAGGATATTGGTTGCTATATTTTACTTCTAGTAAAATCGGACATCGTAATTAATTTTAAAGATATTTTGAAACTTAGTACTAGTATACAACAAAAGGTACTTCTCAACTCACTAGCGACATGTTTTTCACGGTCTTAGATCTCTAGATACCGGGATAGTCGCCTGGCCTGTAAATACAGATTGTGTCCTCTTGCCGAATGTGACATTTTGACTCAGTTTGGATTCAAATGGCGGTTAGTGCATGGGTAGCAGGAGACACTTACCCTGTCGACACAGTTTGTTTCGCTCCTCTTAGAGTTCATGTGATTCCCCCAGTTTTTCGGGTTGTTTTTTTTACCTTGATTTGTGTCTTCTACGTGGAATTGTGAGATTTTCTTCATTCAAACGCAGTAGATACAATAAACATATTATTATACTAGTATTTAAAAGTATAATTATACCTGAGCAAAGTTCCAAACTTTTGCGTTGATTTGTTTGTAGTTGCCTTGAAAAACAGCTCCAGTGTCATTTAAAACATATTCATTTAAAAGACTTGTTGTTGCTAGGTAACATTCGTCATCTATAGTAGACAAAGCCTTCATGATTTTGGGTACCATGATTAAAATAACACGTAAACTGGTGTATCAGACTTTATATTTTTTAATATTGTCAAATCAGTATTTACAGAAAATAACAAACTAGAGATTTGAGAAAAATGATGGGGCGATAGAATTTATCCATTCTTAATCATTTTCAATATAAAATAGTACATTTTGTAGATACATTAGGTAAATTATAAAAAAAAGTAATTTTTTTTTAAATTGCATGCATTATTTATTCAAAAACTTTATAGAGAAAATGTAATTAAAATTACGGTATTGAAATTTGTTTTATAAATAACGTAACATTGTAGATATATTTCATAAATCAGAAATAATTTTTTTTTAATCAAAAGTGCATTAATCTAATGATTTAAAAAACATTTTTTTTATACTTCTATAAAATTAATATTAAATGTGCAATAAATTAATTCTTGTTTATTTAGCAAAACAAACAACAGTTACATTGTTTATCTAAGAACATTTTACTTCATAAAATAATGTGGGACAATCAGAACTTTTCATGTGGGACAATCAGAACTCTAAAATTTTAAAAAGTGGGACAATCGGGAATAAACCATTATGTGTAGGTAGCCGATCAAAAAGAGGGTGCCACTGGGTAAGTTGACCCCAAACCCTAACTCTTAAATAAGGTGTACAAAACTATACCCCACATTCTTACAAAAATATATAGTTTTAAGTCTAACGCGGTAAGTTTTTAATAACATTAAATGATACTGCATTATGGACTTTAAAATCTCACAAAATCAACAAATTTGTAAAATGAACCACTGCAACAATCTGTTTTTACAATCTCTATTTTATCATCACATTGTTCTGTCTATCAAAAAATGCTTTCGCCAAATAGAAGAAATTATAACAATATCAAAAAATCATCGTTGGAGTAATGGAGGATCAGATCTGTATATATATACAAGATTTAAATATATTTACTACATATATAAAGTAAGGAATTAAATGGATTTTTTTAGTCTTTGTTAAAAACAGTTTTATTATCTTATATTTTCTCAGTTCTATATTTTTTTTGGAATTTGCATTGATAAATGTAGTCAACTAGCGGTTTTCAAAAATTGAAAGTGTAAAGTCTGTGGCAAACCCGAGAAAAGATGACAAAATAGTGTTATAGTTTTTGGCACTTGACCAAACATTATATGCATTATAAATCATATTATGCAAACCCAGAAACACACAAAAAGTTACAAAACTTTGAATATTGAGCTCTATTTAACCTTCCAAAATGTATCTGTCCTCCTATAAAATTCGAAACAATTATTTTTCGCATGTCGTGGTTTATTTACATGTAGTATTATAATATTACTTACGTTCACACCATGGATTCAATAAAATGGTGATATCGCTGCCACTTGTATACTTAAATAACATGGGGTCGTCCTCTGGTTGGATTTTCGATGACGTTAGAATGGAGAATTCCCATTCACCAATAATACAGTTGCATGCAGGTGTAATCTCTACTTTGATTGTGTTATTTTTTTTCTCAACCATCTTTGCATACCATTCTGAGTGATGACCAGTACCATCGGTATTTTCGTCCATATCGAATTCAACAGCTGTACCTTTCGGTGGTTTTGGGGTAGATCCTTTAAAAAAGAACTACATTAAACTTTAACATTTTTATATCATATAGCATCTTGATCTGTTATTGTTTAAACGGAAATAAATACACGTATAACCAATAAACTGTAAAATGTGTTACTTTAGCGCAGTTTAAATATCCCGATTTCTAGGGCCAAACGCATTCGTGAGGTTTCATTTAATTTTTTTTCTTGTCTTCTTTAAAACACATTTATGCGAGGGAATATTTTCGCGATTTTATCTTTATCGCAAAATTATACTCCGTACATTAAAGTACATGTACAATATCAATGAATTGTAATGACAATTTTAATTATATACTACTAAAACACATTTTTGAAACACTTCCATAGAGATAAATGGAGGTCAAACTTTGAGGGCTCAAATCTTTGAAGAATTTGATCTGAAATTAACAGCATTTTTTAAAGGATGTTAAATATATATAAGAAGAAAACTAAAAAATATTATTAAAAAAAGGGGGGGGGGGGCTCTTAATTTGTTTCATCTTTTTGCGAGGGAAATGTTAGTTTCAGGTCATATCTAATCAATTATGCCATCATATTCACCTCTTCGTTAATTTTGTGTGTTGTATCGTTTTTAACTAGATCATTATGATTATTTTCAGTCAGGAGTTGTTTTTCTAAACTTTTTTTAGTAGTATATATAAAAGTACAATAATGAATGTTTGATGCTTTAATAGTATAACCATTCATATAAATTATCTAGTGTTAATTAAGAGAATAGCATTCAAAACCTTCATTCATTGATTGTCAGGTGTCTTTCTATGTTATATATGTTGTGTACAAGTTGTAATTTCGTACAAATTATAATTTGTACAGGGTTTTTGTTATCAGTATTTTGACACACACCTTCTTTCACCAGGTGATACAATTTTATCTTCAATAATTATCCAGTTCGATGTTTTACTCTCAAATTTATAAACTTCAACCTAACATTAAGCACTGTCCTCTATGTCATAAAACTACACCTGATTGGTTTAGATTATATTTTTATTTTTTGACTAATACCAAATTCTATGTCCACATAAAATATTTTAGTGTTTTTATATAAACTTGTCAGTGTCAGTACTATGTGCAAGACTATAGCATGTAGTTGTGGAAATAAAACAGTGATACATGTATAAATTTTGGCTTGGATGGAGAGTTGTCTCATTGGCACTCATACCACATCTTCTTATATCTATTTACTGCAGGGTTTGTTGCTCGTGCTGTGTGGATGCAGTAGAATGTGTCCCCGTGCTTGTGGTGTATGCCCTTACATTTTCAATTATGGGCTGTTTGCCTGTGAGAGAGCGTTCACATGTATAAATTTTGACTTGGATGGAGAGTTGTCTCATTGGCACTCATACCACATCTTCTTATATCTATTTACTGCAGGGTTTGTTGCTCGTGCTGTGTGGATGTAGTAGAATGTGTCCTCGTGCTTGTGGTGTATGCCCTTATAATTTTCAATTATGGGTTGTTTGCCTGTGAGAGAGCTTTCACATGTATAAATTTTGACTTGGATGGAGAGTTGTCTCATTGGCACTCATACCACATCTTCTTATATCTATTCACTGCAAGGTTTGTTGCTCGTGCTGTGTGGATGCAGTAGAATGTGTCCCGTGCTTGTGGTGTATGCCCTTATATTTTTCAATTATGGATTGTTTGCCTGTGAGAGAGCGTTCACATGTATAATTTTTTACTTGGATGGAGAGTTGTCTCATTGGCAGTCATACCACATCTTCTTATATCTATAAGCTTAACCAAAGACACTGTGCTTATTTTATCTAATCATATAAAGAGATTAACAAAATACTGATAACTTGTACAAAAATACTGTACAAATTATAATTATAGTGATACTACATTCGTACATCTAATTTACAGAAAATTAAAACATGCATACCGACCGTGCGAGACCCCCATGGGTAGTCAAGGCCGTAAAACACCCCCTAGTAGTAACACATGCAGCAGATGTCTAAATTTTAATTGATGTTTATCTGCCTTCAAATCCGAAACGTGTAGTTTCAAAAGAGATTTAACGTTGTGATAAGAAGGAAACATTTTCTAATACCAATTATGATGGTAATTAATACCTGTTATTCTTCCATTCCCAACAACTGGAAAACGATCGGTGAATTGATTGCAATGGTTGTTGAATGCGTGTAAGATCCAGGGACAAATATTTGAAGCATGATCAATTCACGGAGATAGACCTTTATAAAATGGAGAAAATTACTAAACATCCAGTGACCTGTTTTTTAGAATATTATTAATTTCGACACGATAAACTGGTATCCAACCAAAACAGCAGTAGGGAAATTTATAGTCATTTCTATTACATTTCGTTTTATTCTTTCATTATTTACTTCTCGAAGTAGGCGGAGCCAGACTGTGCATTAACAAGTTTTGAGATTGAAGTTAGAGCACTGGTTTAAGCTCCTCCCACTCTTTGTTATTCCAACGAGAAGCGGTCAATGGCGGTATTGGAGAGAGCAAAAACAACAAAAATCATTCAGTTAACGCACTCCTCTAAAAATAACAGAAGTTAACTTACTTGAAGATCAAAGGAAAAATTACCATTCATGTTACAATTTATCATTACTTTTTTAAGAAGTTTACCTGTTGTGAAAGTGAACTCTAAATCGTTCTCCTTCTTGTCATATTCTCTGTCGAAAGTAATGGTCAGTGTGAAAGACTGTCCCCTGCGAACAACCAATTCAGGTGGAAGTTTTTTGCCATCGCTTTCTGTTACTCTTTCCTCGGTGCATTCGAATTTGTCTGTGTGATGATCCTTGGTGTTAAGCGGAATGTTAAAATCGATACCAAGAACATGAAAGCGTTTGTTGACTTCCTCTTCATTTACACGTTTCTCTACAAAACAATATAAAGGAGAAGATTGTAATCAAAGTTCAACTCAGGTTTTGTTTTGCTCAGATTTTTCGTCTTTTTTTTTAAGGTTTCAGTGGTGTAGTCTGTTTTTTCGTCTTATCATGTTGTTGTTTTCTTCTTCTGCAAATATTCGTCGTACTATGATCATAAATGTTCCATTACAATGGTCTTTATGGTCGTTATAATATTCCTGCTCATAACAAACTTGGTTCGGTGTGTTAAAAAACACCAAGTACGTTACATATAGATGTTGTTAAATAAGCTAGCTTGCTTAGTGATATGGGTTTTGATCATTGTTGAAGGACGTGCGGTGGTCTATAGTTGCTAACATCTACGTAATTTGGTCTCTGGTAGATAGTTGTCTCATCGGCAATCATACCACAACTTCTTATTTTGTATGAATTATATTTTAAAATTATTTTGAAAAAAAAATCATATTGTCTATAAACACCAAAATGCAAATGAAAACATTTTTGTTTTTTTGTTTTTGTTTTTTTTTTTGTAAAGAATATACATGTAAAGCAAGTACCTTCCTCATCTTGTACATCAGGTTTTTGGGGTCTTTGGTCGTTTATTACAGGTGGACTTTTGCTTCTTCGCCCCCGACTTCCTGATCGACCGCGACTTCCATGTCTATGACGACTTCCACTTCTATGCCGACTTCCACTTCTATGACGACTTCCATGTCTATGACGACTTCCACTTCTATTACGACTTCCACTTCTATGACGACTTCCATGTCTATGACGACTTCCACTTCTATGGCGACTTACACTTCTATGACGACTTCCATGTCTATGACGACTTCCACTTCTATGACGACTTCCACTTCTGTGACGCCCACGTGGTCCACATCCACGTCTCCCCCGCCTATTGTTCCTTTCCCAACCACATAATTTGTCTTTTGGGGGTCCGTAACATACCACTTTGCAGTTACTTGAGGAATATTTTGCATCTCTTTCTGGATTTCTACGTCTTCTTCTGTGTGGAGAATGCTTTCTCCTCTTGTCTTTCATCCGTCTCTTATACATCTGAATTAAATAAGCAAACTATCAAAAAGAAAAAGCTAGTCCGTCATGAAATTTTAACGCTCTCTCTCTCTCTCCTCTGTGATTTTATCTACATTAAATTCGTGTTTAGTAGATTAATATGAGTGATTTGCAGATACTATTGAATTAAATGTAATATATCCGTAAAATCTCTATTCTCAGCAGAAATCACAGTTAAAAAAAAAATCGTTTTCTAAAATTTAGATTTCAGTTTTTCATAGAAAAAGTATATTATAAGCAAGCTAGCTATTCCTGAGTATTACTTTTTATGGACAGAATTTGAAAAAAAAACTGTTTTAGTTAATATTCTTCGGTTACAAATCAAAATTATGCTCCATTTCATTTTTTAATTAACGTACAAATAACTTTGCGACATGTTGTATTTATTAAGAAGCGATCTGATTCTCTGCTTTTTTCAAAGAATTCATTACGCATATCAATGAAAATCCTGCAGAATTCAAGGGGTGGCAAAATATTAAGTGTATAATTATGTATGAGGGTCTAAATTGGGGGGGGGGGGTCCTTCATGTCCGTATTCTTTAATTTTCAAGGCCATTTTTCTCTATTCTTTATACTTATTGCCCATTATTCTCTATTTTCTTTATATTTTAGCACCTCATTATTCTCTATTCTTTACTTTTTGGTCCAATTTTCTCTATTCTTTAAATTTTTTGCCCATTATTCTCTATTCTGTATACCCCCATCCACACCCTCATGTATTGTTCTCTCAGCTTTGTGTAATTACTTACTAATCACTAATTGTAATCTGTGCTATAATATTCAGGGTAAGGTATATGATTTTATGTATTTGATATAATTGTGTTCTAGTAAGCAGAAATTTAAACAAGACCTTGACTTCGAAATAAAGATATACACAAACAGTTAAGTTCAATAATTCAATATGCCGTATATTTTAAAAATAATCAATTTACAATGACTCTTTGTTATCATTTCTTAAATGTCTTGTTTAGATAGAAAATATACCGATTTAATAAAGTAAAATTGACTCACTTTGGTTTGGAAATGAAGCAGTCCTCTTAAAATTTTACGCAACTACCAATTGCTTGTTGTTCTATCTTGTTGACATACGGTTTCCGTAGAGACTGGCATCACTTCACGGATAGACGGTTACACTTGAGAAAAATTGGGTTGAATAAAATTGAATTCTATTTTTAAAGTATTTATTTATTTTTACATTGAATAGAAATTTGATTTGCTTACATGAACATAAAAAAGTTAAATAGACAGGTAAAATCAATGAGCATGTGCTTCAAGACAGAAACTATATGCTTGGTACAGATCGAAATCTTCTTAATAATGAGATTGTGATATATATAGGTAGTTGGGTTGCTTTCTCTTAATGAACTATGAGTTCCTCCAATTTCCTTTACATTTAGGGTACACGTGTACTTTTCAAACTTTGGTTATTACTGCTCGTGTTTACAGTAACTGACAAATATTTACTTTTGAAGGGTATGGTGGAGGGGCGCCTTTACTTTTCGAAATATTGTGAATAACGGAGACTTATATAAAGACGATGTCCTTAAAGTCAATCGAAACAAGAAGTCTAAAAAAAAATTAAGAAAACCCCATCATTGTTAAACTAGAAAGTGAGATTACCTCTTAAGACTAGATGTCTATAGATTTAAGTACTATTAGGTTGCTGTTTAATTCATCTCCCAAGTTTATTCATAATTGCGCCGCAAATAAATATGCTATACTAAAATGCAGAACTGTGTCCCTGACAGATTTACATTTAAAGGAATCTTTTGGTACTCGGGAACCTAATATAATGGAAAAGTATGATGTGGTCTATTAATTTATGAAACAAAATCTTTATTCATGCAGTTGACAAAACACAAAACAGATTTTTAACACACTTTTAATGCTACCTTGTATTTGTATTTACCAAACTTTTAAACGTTTTACTACCCTCAAGTACTAATTAAATAGGAAATAATTTTGAAAAGACTTGTTGGTAGTACAGTTACAAAAAATATCAACTAACTCGAACTAAGATTATAATAAAGAGCAATAATGCACCTACCTTCAAAAAATGTTTTTTTTTGTTTTTTTTTGGCAAGTATATTTGAATTTAACCATCAGATAAGCAGACTTTGTCAAAATCAAAAACCTCATTGCAAACGATACACGAAGAATACAAAAATGAAGGACCTTCATCCAGACCCTCATTAACTAAAACGTTGTCATAATTACATTATATTTGTCTACAATATGCAGTATTTGGAATGGGGAATAGATTAATAGATTCATGTGTACTTCTGATAAATGGCTTTATATAAAAATTATGTACAGTGTAAAGAGTAAGAAAGTATTTTCTCTCGGTCATGTATAAACGTTTTTGTTATACGGTTGTTGGCCAACTTCAGTGACATAATCGGTTTTTCCATATAGGATTTTCAACTGGTTCATACCCCAATTCGTGAACCATTTGTGTCCTGAAATCTATTGCTGCCAACACGATGCGACGATGGATTCTTGATGAGATTATAAAGTTATATCGTCTTGTAAATGTCAGTATATAATCTTAATAAACCGCTTGTAAACTTTCAGAGTCTCAATTTGTTAAAGATCTGGCACGCAATTGATTTTCAACATTTTTCAATACTGACAGCTGAAACAGGGATATCAACTTACACATTACAACTCTTCTGTAACTAAGGTTCGAAACTACAGATACTTTATTGATCTTTGTTTTATTTCATAAAACATCAGTTGGACAGTATACGGTGCAATAAATTTCAGTATTGTTTATTCAGAACACCTACGATTAAGGTTTAAACCATATATTTCAAACTACCTGTTTGCGTTGCAATGTTTTGACACACTCCTCCTAGCGATGTGGATAAATATTGTGCATACGTAGCATATATTTAAATAAAAATATTTAAATTTCTATAGCTTGTTAAACGGAGTATATAAGTGGAAAATTATGATATTAAGTACATTTCACCGTTAATATGTATTGTACATAAATGAAAAATACCCAAAGTTTAATGCACTAATACATGCATGCATGCACATATATATATATATATATATATATATATATATATATATATATATATATATATATATATATATATAACAGCTTGTAGGTAACTTTGTTTTCTATGTAACATTGAATTAAAGGATATTAGGTATACGTCAACGAGACAACAACCTAACAACACAATAAACATAGAAGATATCCAGAGGTTAACATAGTACGATCTTCAACAATAGACGAGACGATACTTCATCTAAAAACTTTAGACAAGTTGTGAATGAAATTTACTGAGCTATAGACAAAAAAAGAATAAATAAATCTACCACTACTTTTTTTCTTTGACACACTGACAGAAATATACCACCACTTCTCTTTCTTTGACACACTGACAGAAATCTACCACCACTTCTCTTTCTTTGACACACTGACTAGAGTTTTTTTTTTCATTTTATAATACGTCACTATAGACTTAAAATATTTAAGTGATTTCTACGATATTTGTTTTCATGTTCTATAGATGCATGCACGCATAAACGGATAATGCTTAAATATCACATGTACATCACAAAGCATGAAAACAGTACTAAAAGGGTCTGGACGGAGTTTACAGTTTACCAATAGTCCAGAAAAATTTTAAAAGCATAAAGAATGGCGAAAATAGAATAAAATAATGGGGTGCAAAATATAGATTAGAGGATAATTGTCAAGATAAAAAGATAATATAGAAAACGGGCTAAATAAAATGAATACAGAAATAAAAAAAAAAAACCATCCAGACCCTCTACTAGTGCAGGTACAGCATGTGGTTTTCAATTATTTTAATATGAAATACTTCATTTCGTGCCAAAATACAAAATTCTATTGTTAAATTCGTTATCATTATGAATATTTTTGATGTTTTTTTTACATATATTATATTCATGATTAATATCTATCGTGATCACAGTCTCTGAATAACAAATATTGAAAGTTGATTTAAAATACTGTTGTTGCTAGATGAATTGATGAAATGTATCATTGATTCTATTTAAGTGGTCACACTCGAATAAAATATCCATCAGTATGTAATCAATTGAATTTATATGGAAAATAAATGGCTTTAACGATATTACAATATTATGGTTAAAATAAGAAGAGAAAAGTAAAACTGCAGCAATTCATAACTTCAAATTTAAACATGTCTTTATTGCTACACAATACGTTATACTGCAAATGTCATTGTTTATCAGTAATTGTAAAGGTAGTAGAATTGTCATCAAATGATGTGCATCCGATCAAGGAGATGATCATGATGGATGGCTGCTTAACGTCCATCGGCAAATTAATATGCATATTCAGGACGAGAACATGTTAATGTAATATGAATATTAACCACCGACATGCTGAGCCGGATTTTTAACGTGCTAGTTCACAAGGGAACAGCCCGCAGGAAGACATGTCACCTTACCCAGACACATTATTCTTACTCCGAGCCGACCAGTCTTTGCTCTCTCTGACTCCTTAATGCCGCGTGCTAAGCGGAGAAGCAGCAAATACCATTTTTTTTAAGTCTTTGGTTTGACATGGCCGGGGTTGATGTAGATTAAGACTTCTAGACAATTGATCATGTACTATAGAACTCGAAAATTATATTAATATAGTTACTTTAATGATCTTATATCTAAACAAGTTATTTGGGATGATAGTAAAAACATCTTCGTGCTGAATTCCCTTATAAAATGGCAGCATAAGTGTGTAAACAGAAACCCCTGACTTGTTGAAACCTTATTTTTTGGAAATCTACAGTATTTTTTAAACAGAAAATATAATTTTCAATCACAATAAATCGTTTTCTTATGTCAATAACTACATGTATGCACTGCCCTTTACGAATATTATTTCTTATATAGGGATCGGCCTACAAACATATAGCATTTGCATGGGATCAAGCCAGCTTGACATTTTGGCTTACTGAGGAAAACATAACATGCAAGCTATATGGTGTGTATGCAGTTCAAAGGTTAACTAAAACTTAAATGCCACTGTTAGGTCTTCAAACAACAATTAGACTTCAAAACCCATAAGAAGTCAAATTCAATAAATACGTACATGTGCTGAAATATGACGGTATAATATTAATTGCTATATATATTCAATTAAAAAAAGACAAAGATAACAAAAGGTCACAAAACAACATACAGAAATCTGATAGTTGAGTTATTGAGTAACACGAACCTACCAAACACTTAAGACCAATTAAAGTGCTACCACAATGGAAATTTAATAAATTGCAGTTTCTGTTCTACTAGTGACACACATATCGGGTTCATATTTTTTCTTCTGCTTTTTTCTTTGTTAAAATCAGATAACACACAGTCAAGTTATAGTATGTGTTGAGGCATCATACAAGAAATAGCATGTTGCATTTAATTAAATTATGTTTTTATTCATTAACAATGAGCGTTACGCTTTCAATATTTTAATAGTAAGTCTATACTTAAAGATATATCTAAATAACACGAAAAATTACCTTCGGTAAACATATAATGTAAAACTGCACTTCAATAAATAAATTTAGACCTACATTATTAATATAAATATATAAATGCAATGATAAATTATATTGGTGTAATATTACATATCAAAATAAAGTCAGTCTGTACTTTGACAAATATTCTTATATGGATAACAGTGTTTTTTAATCTTTAGCATTTACGACGACTAAACCAACAATATCTCTCAGTTCATCACAATCAAAACTAGCGTTGATCTGAAGTTCACCACTTGTTTCTGCTTCCAACGTCTCTGCAGTACTCCATTCGGATTTTGGGGGTACATCACTATTCACAAGAAAATAGAACATATTATGCTGTTAATTCACCACGATTGCTGACAAAATGATGCAAACCTGGGGCGTTTCATTGGGAATAACTAATCACAACTTTAGAGATTTATTCATCAAAGAGGACCAAGTTTGTCCACATTGACCTGTTATTGTTATTTTGTACAGTTTCCCGATTGAATAATTTTATAAAAGGTTTAAAACCTATGGAGCAGCCTACTGAATATGCATGAAATATTTGCCACTGTACATTAAATTAGCAATAACCAATCAACCTATAAAACACATCCCTTAGTCAAATTTTACAAAAGGTGACTTTGCACGTCTTGGACTGTCCGATCGTTTAGAATTTGTTTTGAACGCAGTGTTAAACAAACTATGCGTTGCAAGCATCTTTTTTTTTAATTTCAGCGTCTTATTAACGATTTACAACTGAGTTATCTTCAATTAAAATTGTCACTCAAAATACCTTAGATCATAATATCTAGTCATATATAGGTAACTGAAAGAATAGATTATTTGTATTTAACGGATCCATCGCTTATGCATTGCGCCACATTTTCTCTGTGATTTTTACCTTAGTTATCTATGGAAATGTTTGCTCATTATTTATGCGTAAACTTGTTTATTTGTTGTTGTTAAACAAATAGTTTTAACTTGTAATACTAACCTCTCCTCGGTCTTTTTATGTTTAATTCCGTTTCCTTCAATCAGCAGAGAACAGTTTGTAAGCGGTACTGGTAATGTATTTTTGAACGAAAGTTTCAATTCAAAGGGATCTTTCACCTGAACAACCCTTGGAGCCTATGAAAAGACATTGATGTTTTATTTATCTTCTAGTTCTCTTCGAAGACATACGGATGATTAAAATTATGTAAAATTATATAAGCAATTATGCATATGTTTGTACATATATAATAATAAAACATGATACATATTATTTTCTTATTAAGTGTTTCCCATTTTTGTTCAAAAACCTATGAAATCTCTTTATATGAAACTTTGATATTGTCATTAGCAAATCTTTTCTACGGACTGATGATAAAATGTCGATTAAGAGGTGAAATAAAGTGCATGAAGGTTTGCAGTTATCCTATTCAGATAAAACAACAAAATGTATATACCTCTACTACAATGTCTGGACGTCTTAACCGGAAGTCATCCTTTTTCAAATAATAGTTGCCAGTCTCTTTAACATATGCAAATGCTGTTATTTCCATACCAAAGAGTTCATACATTTTGTCCCAATATTCATCCGTTTTTACCGTAAACGTCACTTTCCTCTCTACAGAATAAATATCCTTGTTTACTACGAGTGTGGACACACATCAGTGTGGATTGTAAATGTAAAATTTGTGTTATTATGTTTGACAGTGTTATCTCCAATGAGTTCATATGTTGGTTGTGCTACCGTCAGATGTTTTTTGGACTATTTGTATGTCTTTCTCTTAGACTTCTATGTTAATTGTTTACTACAATGTAAAACACGTCGTATACTAGTAGTCCCTATTATTTTAATTCCTTTTTCTAAATTATTTTAGTAATACAATCAGTATATACTAGTTTGAGTGCTAGCTTAGAAGATGAATGTTTATCAGATCGATATGGTTATTTTCGTAACATTGCTTTGAATTGAAATTGGTTAAATTTTTAAAAACATGCATACACTTTCATAGTGAAAATTAACTACAATGATCAGAATAAATCAGCAACGAGTGTCGAACAACGTTACTATATACTGGTAGATCGATGAACTTTTTTTATTATGAATATAACACATTAGAAAGATTTGATCACTCATTGTATTTGTATCAGACAATAGATATCTCGACCGCTCGACCAAAGAGGCGCCATCAGTTTTCATGGAAACTTCACATGTGACAGCTAATCCTAAATACATATAACAGAAAATACAAACCTTCACTGAAATCTAATTTGATGTTCTCAAATGTTTTCTTGACAATATTCTGTCGGCTTTGACCGGTGTATTTCAAAGAATCAACAATAACTTGTAAATGTCCAATAGTTCGTCGACCCCTCTCCGATTTGACATTCTTCAACTGAACTTCGACTTCAAAATCATTGCCAACCAAAAACCCATCTTTATTTGCAATCGTCATTGAAACATCCTGTAAATGGTAAAACACAGCGACATACAATAATACGTTTCTTATCACTAAGTGTGTCATTCTTATCACTACGTGTATCATTTTTCAATTAATCAATCACATCTGCATGATACAATAATCAAAAACATTTTTTAAACTATGCCTGTTTCACATTTTTCATGTCTGGGCATTTTATAGCTTACGGCATGAGTTTTTCTCAATGTTAAGGGCCGTACGGTAACCTATAATTGCCTATATCTATGTCATTTTAACTCTAAGGCTACTGGATAGTTGTCTCATTGACAATCATACAACATCTCCTTATTTTATACTTATAAGATAAATTAAAGTAATATTGTGTTAACTTTTTCGTCATGCCTGCTTCCTTCTGATATCTTTTTCGGCTGATGAGGTACATGGAGCTTTATTTCAGTAACTGCATCGTAGTATTTGATTTTTTTTTTTTTTTTTTGTACATCATTTTTGGTCGTCTGTATTATTCATATATAAGAGTTTTTCTGGAACCTTTTAGATGTCTGTTTTGGTGTTGTCAATTATGAATTATAGAATATTGTGCTTACATATGACTCGGAAACTTTAAACACATCCCTTCCGAGTTTGGCGGCTCTGTCGGCTTTTTCCACTGCCAAACGTTCCTCTAAAGAACCTTAAATATATGAAAAGGAATATTTATACTCATCAATATAAGGTTTTTCTCTACTGACTATTAAAATTTATAAAATTACGCGGTTGAGTATTTAGTCATTTTCTTTTGAAACAAACAAAATCAACCCAAAATAATTCATTGCAGCATTTTTGTGTCTGTTTGTTTTGTTCACGTATCGTTGTCAATATAATGAAATTTGATGCGACTGCCATACAAGTGAGAGGTTTAGCTAGCTATAAAACCAGGTTCAATCCACCATTTTCTACATAAGAAAATGCCTGTACCAAGTCAGGAATATGACAGTTGTTATCCATTCGTTTGATGTGTTTGTTTTTTTGATTTTGCCATTTGATTGGGGACTTTCCTTTTTGAACTTTCCTCGGAGTTCAGTATTTTTGTGATTTTACTTTTGGTAAACAATATATCAATCAGCACAACAAACTAGCCATCATCTGATGTAGCTTTGTGCCATTTAGTTGTGCATATGAGCTTTCATTATTATGAAGTGATGGTTTGGTTTCAATTGCCATGTCTAATGTTGGAATCATGATTGCGCGAATAATTTATTCCACGAAATTTATGTTAGAATTTACATATAATTTATTATTGTTTGCTGAACGTCCAGTGGTAAATATGTCAAGCATATTTAGAACAAATTAAATATTTCACCAAAGTGGTCAGACATTTATTAAGGGCATTCTTTTTTAAATTCCATTTGAAAACGAGGTTAAATAGGAAATGATCAGACATTTTATCTTGCTACAGTATATTTACGGACGTTAACCACCTTGACAAAAATAACTGACCTCAATCCATTAACGTTAGCAATTGCTTATTTTGATTTTGTGATAACATTATTTTAAATGGAGATGGTTATCATACTTCAAGTACCTGCAATATTTCGGGTGATTTAAAGTATTATTATTTATTGCAAGGTGTACTACATTTCTAAATCTGACCATTTTTTATCTAAATATACCTTCAGGAAATTTATATTCACTAGTAAGGTCAAGTCGATAATCTTCATCATCTCGCCAAATTGACACATTTCCATTGTATGGTTTTCCGTCCGGCTTCTTTGTACTAATATATCTACCAACTCTATTAAAACAAACAAAACAATATTACCAAAATGTCACACAACATGTACACCATTATCTACAAAATTACCAAAACAGGGGCGAAAGATACCAAATAGATATTCAAACTCACAAGTCGAAAACACAAACTGACAATGCCATGGAAAAAAATTAAATACGCTCAAAAGACAAACAACATTATACTAAACACAAAATATAAACTAAATACATATATATATATATATATATAACTTGCTCCGTGTTGAAGGCCTCACTGTGATTTAGAGATGAAAAACAGCAATAAAAGCGCTATTCCTTTGCTTTTTGTGTGTTTTTTGCTGTGCATGTACTGATATTGTGTCATGGATGAATACCCCCCATATACTTTGTTTTTCCATTAAAGACTGAGCAACACGATCCTCGCCAAAACAGGTAGTGATCACAGGTACTCCGGAAGTTTTGCCAAAACAATTAAATTTAAAAACATCACAGTGAAAAAACATGGCTTTGTAGAAAAACAAGTTTGGAGGAATTCAACTCGGGAGTACGGGAGTAAGTGCAAAATTGCCTTAAATCTAACCGTTAAAGTCCCGTAACTCTGGAACGACAAAGCCAAAACTGGTTAAAATCGAAAGCGATCTTTCTTCAGTCAATCCAAATGTTATGTTAACATTTTATTAGAATTTGTTATAGCAAACTTGAAGTCTTTACGAACGGACATAAGTTTTATCATAAAACATCCTGTTTTCGACGAGCGTTACAAATTTTGATCACTGTACAATATGCGACTAGAGCTACATGCAAAGCATGATATACTTACGTTTTGGAGTCCGATTGTGGAAATTCATATTTGAAAAGGTTTAAGTTTTGGTTTTTGTTAAACAAATAAGAATTTGGAATGTACTTAACCGCAAAGTATCCAAATTTAATGCTTATCAGTTGCTGTTAGTTTTCGGGAACATTCCTTATTGCAACACTAATTTGGGGATTGGTCAACTTGAACCTATATAAAGAAAAGATTTCTACAACTAATCTATATCGTTTTTAACTTACTCATTAGTTTCTGCTTTTAAAACTGTCCAGTCATTTACCGGCGGACCATGCACCTCCCAGCTAACAATGTCTGCGTTTACCTCGGCAAATATGAACGGGGCATCGTATTTTACTTTTGATATATCTCCGTGTTTTATTGCAATGACAGGTGCCGGACCACAACAATATATGCCTGTTTTTGATAAGACGTAAGAAAGTAAACTATTGAACCAAGTTGTTTTAATATATTTACTTAGATGTTCGATACAACAAGTGATTCTTCTGAGACGTAATTATAATTATTCAATACTACTACCACTATCACTCTTATATGCATTTTATCTTCTCTTTTTATTATTTTTAATCTCATCACTCCTCCATGATTACTCTTAATTCTTAATATTGAAAATAGTTCATCTCAGCTTCGTGGCACCTTCAGCCAGTATACGTGCACAATGTACCCATTAAAAAAATACTCGTTTTCTTTTCATCCACCTGATGGACTTGAAAAAGAAATCTGTTTCATTAAGGATTCTGATGATAACTGACCACGTCAAAAGGTCACGATTTAAAAACAGTCAAAATTAATTGCAAAACTTCGGATAACTTTGGATTTCTTTTACAAACTTCGGAACAATATTTAATTTGTATATTTCGGTACAATGACTATTTACTTATCCGACTTGTAAAATTAAAAAAGAGGCAGAAAAAACAACAGAACAATTACAGCTAACATCACAGATAAGTCATAATAGTACCACATTTTAAATATGGAACAGATTAAACTTGGTAATCCGTTGACACAGAAGCCTTAAAAAGACAACACTTACATAAGTGTTCTGACAAACAAAATTTCAAGTATTGTTTGACATGGATCTTAATGTTAAACAACAGGTGAATAGGTTTTTGTCTTATATTTGTCATATAGAAGATGTCCCATTTTTCAGAGACTATCATTTTAAATTTAGATTCACGAAATTGACTTAATCGTCTCGCTATATCATGTAGGAGTTTTCACTCATTTGATGATAATTCAGTCCAAAAAGCAGCGTAAAGAACACAAGCATTTGTCTTTGAAAAAAAATACCTTTTTATTTTTTTTCAAAGATAAGTGCTTGTGTTCTTTTGGACTGAATTATCATCAAATGAGTGAACACTCCTACATGATACAGCGAGACGATTAAGTCAATTTCGTGAATCTAAAAAAAAAATGTTCAGGCTTAATACGTATTTCTATGTCTTACCCTTATTTAAAAAGCGTTCAATAAAACCTAAACAATATGTTGAAGTATTATGCTTGACATCTTATCGTTCAAATGTACCATATGTTTTGTAATCGATGATAATATAATGTTGTTTATAAAACCAAAACAAAGGAAACCCGATCATTATATAAAATATACTTGAGAACGCCCCTATACAAATTCATGTTAATACCTTCACTAGTTTCCTGTGGGGTTGCATCGATAACTTGCCAGCCATCGTAACCTTTCCCGAGGTCAGGTCTTGACAACCATACTTCATTCCAAACGTGAAAATTCCTGTTTCCATAAAATATTATTATATTACCATTTTTCATTGAACAATAGAAATCAGTTTGATTAAGTGTGTGATAATCAAATTAAAGGAAAATTGCAATTAAAATTATTTCTATTTTTCTTTTCTTTTATGGATTATTTGGAGTTTTTTTTTTATATTAAAAGGAAGAAAAATTGTAAATTATATATATTTTTTCATCTGAAAATTATACCAAATTGAGTCTGGCATTTTCTTCTCGACTAATTCATTTCCATCTTTAACAAATACTTTGTCAATGGTCGTGGTTCCGTCTGTATCATGCGCTGATGAGAAATTAGACAAACTTCTCGCAGGCAGTCCAATAGCTCGGCAAACTGAAAGAGAATAAATACTCAGATTCAAGAGTTTACAAACGACAAACGTTTATTGTATCACCGATTTAAAGAGTCGGTTAACATTACAAAAAAAACCTCACAGCTGAAGATATTATACAATAATTCAGATTTCACTTAAAAATTCTGATTCTTTAATGTTATGATGTTTTATTATTACGTTTTTAGCTTGTATCTTAAAATGCAACCCCATGATAGGAATATGACCACCTTGACTTTTCTCCACCGAAAGTAAGCCATATGATAAGTATGTCTGTTACGCTGTGTTGGGTGTATAAATATGCAACAGCAGCCAGCAGAAAAGTGGACTTTAAAAACGACCCCCACGTTTGGGGCACGACTTGCTTCCTGTACAAAAAACTTTTAAAGTTTACTTTGATATATACAATATTAGCTTTACACTTTCTATGTCGGAAGGACTCTTTCGGAGGTAACAGAGATAAATCAAAGCAATTTTCTTAGGAAAGATAGAAATGGGGGTTGCTTGTAGCAAATATTAGATATTAGAACTAGAAATGTAAAAGGAAACTGACTTTTTTTTAATGATTCAATTTTGAATTGAAGAAAGAAATAAAACTTCAATGATACCATTTTTTTTGGGTCATTATTTATACCCGCGCCCTCGGACATTGTCCATTGACTTTGAAACTAGTTCATACTTTGCATGTTACTTTTAAGGATTAGGTCAATTTATATACTAATTCATACGACCTCTTAAACTGAAAACTTTTGTGTATGATTCAACTCTTCTAAATATACCTGTAGTAGTTATTCCTGAAAATACCCAACACTGTCCAAACTTAACTGGGGTTCCATTATTATCTTCATACTCTTTCAACATGGCAACACTTCCAACCCATTTTGTAGGAGAAGTTCCACCAGTGTAATCACCGCTCCAGTTACCAGATACAATACCATTGTCATCTTGGGCATTTACCTACAGTTGTTGTGATTTTAAAACATTCGTAATTATTAAAATGGTAATATACCGTTAATTGAATTGTCAGATCCTAGCTCAAATTGTTTAAGCTATCAGATTAAGATTTATTAGTGATGCAAAGTTTATTTATCAAGAAAAAATTAATGTTTTGGTAATTTTGGTCAGCAATTGAGAGAAAAACACATAGTCTGAAATGTAAAATGTTATGCAATTTTTTGTTTAACATGCGGGTATCTTGTATATGACTTGGGCTGTATAATTATAAAACTTAACATTTCCCTGTATATAGGTTGCAATTATATTAGAGGTATTAGAAGTATACATATAGAATAGACTGAAGTAGTATTTATATTCCATGTGATCTTACGACCTTGCATAAAAGCATACTACTTCTTATAAACTGATTTTTAATGTGAGTTTACAGTGTGTTTGTTTATTCCACATTCAATTTGGCTAATGGTATAGGGGAGGGTGGAGATCTCACAAAACATGTTTATCCGCGCCGAATGTTTGCGCCTGTCCCAAGTCAGGAACCTTTAGTCTTGTTTTTTTTTTTAATTTTTGTTCATTTGTATGTTTCGGAGTTTAGTGTGGAGTCCATTTAGCAGAACTAGACAAGTATTATTGTTTAGGGAACAGCTGAAGCCCGCCTCCGTGTGTGCAAGATTTTCTCGCTGCGTGTGTGAAGACCCATTGGTGCCCTTGGGATATTTTCTGCTCTTTGGTCGGGTTGTTGTCTTTTTGACACATTCCGCGTTTCCATTCTCTATTCTAAATTTACCATTTTGGATATAACTCGAGATAGTTTTATAACATCTCCCATTCCTGGATCTATCATATTATTGAACCCTTTCCTGATCAGATGTAGGCATATACTTAAAATGTCATCGTGAAACTAAAATGAAAATATGCAAACTATTATGCCTTTATATCAGAATGATATGTGAACAATATATAAGGTAGACCATCAAGTAAATTAAGGTTTAAACAAATTTAACATAAATTTTACCGAAATCAGAAACAGTTAAAAGTTAAGGCGCCTTAATAATGACAAATAAATACCAACTATACTGTAAGTAAATTATATACGATTCCCTTTTATTTTATATGTATACATTACACTTTTGTGTCCCTTTTTTTCTTTCAATTTAAAGATTTCCTGGTTTTGCCCTTTTTTCATTGAATAGAAAAATATGTTATACCTGTCCAAAGTTCCATGGTTTGATTGCCCGCTGATAATAATTACCAACAAATATTGCACCAGATTCATTTAATATATATTCATCTAGTAATGATTCTCTTTCCATGTACACCTGATCATCTGTATATATGAAAAAATAAGAGAACATTGCACATGACTTTGTATAAGGCGGTCGAATGATCCAGTTAACCCGAAAAACGGATGCACATAGCTCAACATATTAGATTTCATAATCAATATTTTCTCTAATATGTATATGTTTTGTATGGTTTATTGTCGAATACAATTAAGCGACTGATGTCAATTCAGATATCAACATATTATATTCATCACACAATCTATTTTTTCAAAACTAAAATGCTATTGTTGTTGAACTCAAATGGTATCAAAAGTTACACAATTGAAATCAATATAAAAGGATACCGGCATGTTTCTTTTTTACTTCCTATGGACATAATCCATCACGTATTAGAGGATGAATTGACAGGTAAAAATCGACTAGTGAATTACATGTTATACATGTGCTTTATAGTAGTAATTAAAGTATGACGAAATACTAGCGTTTTTAGGATATGATTACCAACCTTTACACCAAGGGTTTAAGATGACAATCACATCCTCGTTATGTTCATACATAAGTGATATTGGCTCGTCCTCTTCCTTAAGTTTAGATTCTGTCTGTATTGTGAATCGCCATTCGCCGATGATACAGTTACACGGAGGCTTTATTTCTACATCAATTGAAGTATCAGTCTTATAAACCATCTTTGCAAACCACTTATCAGGATCACTAGTACTTGTGGAGTCTTCACTCATGTCTAGTTTAATGGCAGTACTTTTGGATGTCATTGGACGTTTACCTAAAATAAAATTATTTGCTATTATTAATATTTGTAAAACTTAAATCAATACATGTATACATACATATCATATGCTTTAAGTTAATTATAATTGCACTTGTATTGATCTAAAGTTATATTCGTAAAATTGAAAAAAGAACATGTGTAAAATGAAAAAAAATAAAATGACTGTCATTACTATATATACCTGTTTTAAAATGGAAAAATATTTCATTTTCCTCATTTTTATATGGTCTGTCAAAAGTTATCGTCATTATGAAAGGCTGTCCTCTTCTTACAACCAGCTCCACATTCTTTTCTCTCTTGGTACACATAAACATATCTGTGTGATGTTCTTTCGTGTTTTTCCGTATATTCAGATTAACATTTCTTACGTGAAACTTCGTATTAACTCTTTCATCTGAATCTGATAATGGAAAAAATATTCATTCATAAACGGTCAAGATAGAGTAAAACAATAAATACTATTATCATCAATTTATAAGGCCAGGCTTTATGCATTAATTGTTGAGTTTGCAGAGTTCAGTATTTAATTTCACGTATCTTAGAATAATGACAAACTCGGTATTTGTTTTCAGATGTGACTTCTGTTCTGGTATCTTTAGATCTAAGACAGTAAAAGCATGCCTTTCGTCTATGCTTTAAGTTTGATGGAGGTATTTAGATTTCGAGTGGATCACTACTATACGGATTAAGTAAAATCAGAACTGCTTCCAGTTAACAATGGCAACGTAATGTAAAATCATACAGAGTACAAACAAACCATTAGATACGATGTCTTCTCGTCTTCGTCTTTCATTAAAAGCATCTTCTTCTTCAAATCTCCTTCTTCTTCTAGCCAATCTTTCTTCCCTTCCTCTGTCCAGATCTTCATCTCTCTCCCAAGGAAAGCGATAATCTTCGCCTCGTTCTGGGCCGTAAAATAAATTTCGGAAGAAACCGAACATCGTATAGCGGCTACCCCACAGTGGATTACCCTCGCAGAAGTTGGCTACACAATACTTGTATTTACAGACAGCCTGGATGTTCGTCCTACCAACATACTTGCTTACGCAACGTAGTATAACGTGATTAAACTGTTGTAACATAAAAATTATATAGTGTAAACAATAATTGTTTGTTCCGTTGTGGTTAGACGCAAACAAGAAACGGAACACAAACAGATATATATATTATACGCAATACGTATAAACAGGAAGTTAAAACATCTTTGATACTTGGTACTCGTTATGTTATTTTTCGTGAAGAGGAAATCGTTGCACTAATGGTATTCACAAGTTTAACCTTCCCAAAAATATATGGAGTGCTTTGCAGTACCATAAAGTAACATTCATTTTTTTTTTTTGTTGTTTTCTTGTGATCTAAGAAGAAAAGACACTTCTTTTATAGAAGTATTTATCTTTTTTTTTTATTTTCGGATACTTTTATTTAGGTTTCAGTATCATTATTATTAGTAATATGATACAAAATGCGACCTCACAAGGAATAGGCTCTGTCCAGGGGGTCACAAATAAGGACTGAGAAGGGGAAATGTAACATCAAATGGTTAGACTAACAAATTATTCATTAGACGAGGGTTATATTAGTATCTCCTGGAATAACTGACACGCGATACTGGTAATTCTGAGTTGATATTTTTACTCTCTCTCTCTCCAATGAATTAAATTATTTCAGTCTGATAAAACTATATTTATACTTATCACTTCATTATCATCTAAAGTATACAAAGAGAGTTATTGATGCTTTCAATTTACTTTGTTCCGAAGGTTTCACCTACAATACTGACGTTATACATACTTCTGTATTGATTGGTTTGTTGTATTGTTTTTAAATGCTGTTTTAAACCAATACTTTTTAAATTGTATAATGTGAAAGTTTGATAAATACTTTTAACAAATAAATATCTGATAATTACATATCGGTTTAGAAACGAGTAATGACCAGATCTATCATGTTCGTATATTATATGTAATTACTAAAGATATGATATAAATACTATACTCATCATACATATGAAATCATGTGAATACAACTAAACGTGTTACAAAGGAATTGCACAATAATAAATATAACAGCAGTTATCCAGCAATATGTGATCATAAAGCAACATCATCATCGATCGAGTCTGAATTACCCATATTGTTGGACCATCCGTACATAATTTCTTCTCACCTCCCTGACGTGTTTTTTCTTTAATAGCTCAATCAAGTCAATATAATATATTACCCACAACAGTAAGCAACGAATCAGAACTAACATTGGTTTAGTTATAATTTTAAGATCGCGTGTATATCAACAGAAACTAATAGCTTCGCACCGTGATACGAAACAAAAATTAGCACTATCCTGTAAGAACTTCAAAATTGAAAAAAAAACTTTAGAAAAAGAATATCTTACTAAATGTCAAGAAATGTCAAATTTGTCCAATATCAAGTTTCCTGAAAAGAAATGACGAAAATTTAAAAAAATGAAATGTTAAAAGTGAGGAATAATTGTTGCTCGGGAAATGTAATGTAAATGTATAGAATAGGCAATGTGTAATTTGGAGAAGATTTTGCTTGCCCTCTGGTATAAAAATGTCTCAATTGCACTGTTTTTCATTTTGTGTATCGTGCGTAGCGTACTGATTTGTCTAATCGTTTGCATTGCGTGCACTTAATTTTTATTTTTAGGATAAAGAGTAAAATTTCTAGGAATAATTCTTGGTTATTAGTTTATATGCTAAAGGGTTTCTCAGACTAAAACATCATTACCTTATCTTGAAAGCGACAGAACACCATCTCACAGAAAACAAGACTATTAAAGAACTAACATATTTTTTTAAATAAAAAGAAAGTACACTTCCGATCTTCTAAAGCAAAAAATGAGATAAGACACATAAGTAAAGTGATTATTTCTACATGTATTTTTAGGTTTTTAAACGTGTTTAGGATTAATCGTTGTCTCATTTGCGTATACAGTAAAATAACAAAAATATCGAACTCCAATGAAAACTCAAAACGGAAAGTCCCTTATCAAATGGCAAAATCAAAAGCTCAAAAACATCAAACGAATGGAAAACAGCTGTCATACACCCTTTTATCGGCATTTGGTTTTATGATCTTTTCCGTGAAATTCCCGTGACAGGAAAGTATACATTTATTAAGCTGTTACCATTGGAGAACTTCATTACAGGTTTATACGGGATACATTTACATGTAGTAAAATTATGTTTCCTCTATTTTGTCTTCTTCTTTTCTTTTTTGTTATCCATCACACATTCCTCATACATTACATTCATTTATATTTTTTTTAAATATGAAATATGCTCCGGAAAAGCATGTTGAGCTCTAAGTGACACCCGTAATTGTCAAATGAAGCCAATGAAATGTGCAGTAATGTAAACATTCGGTGTCAGAAAGGAACAAAGAAAAATAATAGACAGAAAATACCGACCCATCTTCATGTGCTCATATTACTTTTTTTACTATCATTTGGTCGATCGGTACAGCTACCGGAGGACTGCCCGACCACCCCCTGATAGAGAACAGGGAGATTTTGTCTGACGTACGGTACTAATGGCCCAACATCCCTTTCGTGTCACGAACCATTCTGCTAACCCTTGAGTTTACTCCTGTTAATAGTGTTCGTGTTGTTAAGTATTTGGTCTCCTGGGAATTGTTTTTTAAATTTGATTTGGTTTTCCGTCTTTTTGTTTTGAGTAAGTTGTTCGCTTCTTATAATTTTTGAATGCCCAATTAGTATCTCATTACTGCTTTCAATTTTTGTAGGTTCATGTATACTCATGTCAGGTTATGAATGAGAAGATATTATTGATCTTTTATATATTTTATGTTTATCTATAGGAGAAAATAAAAAAAAATGCATAATAATCTTTACAAAATTATTGTAACATGTATTTGTCCTGTCGACGCACCCGGTCTTGCTGGTATTCATTCAATTCGTTAAGCTTTTTTTTTTTTATCTTGGTTGATATATTTAAAATTAATTTAGGGGTTTTGAACATCGATAAATACTGTGTACTCGTCCTTGGGGATGGCACATTATCTATGCGACTGAATGAGAAATCAAGCAAGCACCTCTATTCATCTTTCTGAAAAGTACTCCAATCAACTCTTTTTGATACGAATAAAAAAGAACTGTCTGCGGAGTAGGAGAAATAGCCTCGGCTTTAACTTTCTGTTAGCCACAATATATATCTCTTTGAATTCATATTTATTGCTCAGCTAGCCCAAACGGCCAACTGAGTTTTTCTCATCACTAGTCGTCGCCGTTGTCGTCGTGATCAACTATTACAAAAATATCGTCTCCTCTGAAACTACTGGGCCAAATCTAACCAAATTTGGACAAAATCATCATTGGGGTATAAAAAATTACTTATCGTGTTATACAGATTAAAGCAAAGGAAATATGTAATATCAAATGTATCAGTTTCGACTGTCAGCGCTAAACCAACATGTTATTCGATCAGGTCTCAAATACCCATACTGTCAGTCCATCAGTACATTTCTCCCTTTCATAACGTTTTCCAAATTTTAGAACTCATTCTAGACAATAAAATCTTAGCCACACAAATATGCAACCAATCAGAACTAACTGTTGTTTAGCAATAATTTTAAGATGGTGTTTATATCGACTGCAACGTTTAGCTTCGCACTGTGATGCGAAACCAAAAAACATTTGCAAAGAGCATAACTTTGGGTTTGTCAACGGACCACGATTTTCTAATATGCGCATGTTATTTTATGATATAACAATGAAAAGTTTCATGAACATCTGATGATTCGTGTAAGAGGAATTACGTTCACATAGTGCATACTAACAAGTTTTTTTTCTAAATTCAAAGGACATAACTACATAATTTGTCAACGGAAAAGATTGCACCAAAGGGTATCTACATAATAAGATATTACAAGGTAAAAAGTATCATGAACATTTGATGATACGTGTTTGTGAAATATCGTCCAAAATGTGTATACTGAATAGTATTAACAATTTTCAGTAAAAAGAGACATAATAACTCTTTGATTTATCAATGGACCAAAATTGCCTTCATACATGCAGACTTCTTTTAAACTGAGTTTTACTGTGCGTATTGCTTATGTTTCTTTTATTCTACATTGGCTAAAGGTATAGGGGGAGGGTTGAGATGTCACATAACATGTTTAACCCCGCCGCATTTTTGCGCCTGTCCCAAGTCAGGAGCCTCTGGCCTTTGTTAGTCTTGTATGTTTTTTAATTTTAGTTCCTTTATATGTTTTGGAGTTAAGTGTGACGTCCATTTTCACTGAACCAGTACACAATTTTATTTAGGGGCCAGCTGAGGACCACCTCCGGGTGCAGGATTTTCTCGCTGCGTTGAAGACCCATTGGTGGCCCTCGGCTGTTAGCTGCTCTTTGGTCGGGTTGTTGTCTCTTTGACATATTCCCTATTTCCATTCTCAATTTTATGCGTATTTTCATGTTAAGATCTTAATGTAAAAAGTTTTCAAGAACATCTAATGACATTCAAGGGCAAAATTCTGGAAAATAATACATGAACAAAAAATCCTTCATGTTGCACACTTGACACACCATAACCTATATAAACATAAAATGTGTTAAAAGTAGTTGTAGAGCTCAAAAGATGAACAAATAGACAGACGAACGACCAGATGGACATGGTGATTTCTATATACCCACAAAATTAGTTTGTGATTGGGCGTGCAAAGGAAAGTGGTAACGCACAGTTAGTGCCCATAAGTTTGGTAAAAAACTATGTTCTTTTAAATAAACGTAAATAATTTAATTGTAATTGAAATGAATAATAAGGTATCGAATGCAAAATTCTACATAAATACTGTAAACCAAGTTATTTTCTCGAGCGATTTATTTTCGCGAGCAATTTATTTTCGCGACTTTCGCGAGTAAAAAAATAACGCGAACATAAATCGTCGCAAATATATGAAACTTGAATCTTTCCTTATTTAACTACATCAAACACATTAGAAATTTGCGAAAATAAATCGCCGCGATGTGGACCAAAAAGGGCTAAACGCGAAATAAAGTATCAGCGAAAATAAGTTGGTTTACAGTATGCAATTACTTTTAACGTTCAAAATTGTTCTCAATAACTTCATAGATAATATCAAAATTCTTTTTTGAAGTACATGTATAGATATTGAGACAGTTCGCAAATTTTGAAATTTAAATAAGTTGTTAAAAGATAATCACCATTCTCATTTACTTTCCAAATATAGGTAAAATACATCAAATTGACAATGAAAAATCATGTCCAATATTATAGTAAAAAGTGAAAAACTATGAAAATACAAACCAGTCTACAAAACACTTAACAAAAAAAATTAAAGACTGAGCAACTCGATTCCTAACAAAAAAAAATTAAAGACTGAGCAACTCGATTCCTAACAAAAAAAGGACGACCTCAGGCGCTTCCGGAAAGGTGAGCAGATCCTACCTCGCATATGGCACCCGCCGTGTTGACCATGCCAAGTCAAATGTCGATGATAAGTTTCATTTAGTAGTGTCACAATGTAGGAAAAGAGTACAAGATGGTGGTAACGACCATTGGCACAAAACATTTTTCAACTTTTAGTGCCAGTTAAATGATTAAACAAGACAAATATTAGGTTTTGACCTGCGTCGCTATTTAAATGTAATTTAAATTCTAAACTATCGGAAAACCAAAAGTAGCTATATGGAATATATAAAAACTGCTTACACGCCACAACTCAACATTCTCAAGCTGCAGGGTAAATATAAAATCACACCCTTTCATAAAAGCCACTAAAGTTTTCTATCCAAAGTCAGACGTAATAACAGAATTACTAGACCTGCTTTCACTGTTGGCGATGCAAGTAAAAATTAAATTGCTAAAGCAAGAAATAGTTCAGTGAAATATTATGTATTTGATAAAAGTTTGACAAATACAACTTTCAAACTTTGTGGAAATATTCAAATAAATCATCTGAAGCAACATAGATTATAACAAGTGATGATGTTCCTATGTCTAAGTATAAACATACATTTCTTTTTCGTAAACAAAATTTGTCCATACAAATATATTATTGATACTTTGATATTCTCTTATCAAGTATGCTAGTGCATGAAGGAACCTCATTAACATCAACAATGCAAACAAAATTTTTAAACGGTTTCATTGTAAATGAGATCAATTTGTTCCTAGAAGGACTAGACGATGCGCCAAAGATATGGAGACATAAACTCTACACATTCCCTTTTGGGCAAACATGTATAACAATTCATGTATGCCCCAATGTAATATGTTTTTTTTATAAAAACAGACCATACAAGTAGAGTAAATAAGACAAATTGAATATCGAAGGTTCCAACTCCCTCGGGCAAAGTTGACCTAAGATGAACTTGGCTTTTGTATTAGATTCCTTTTGGTCATTTAGCCCATCGCATGTTTAGGTCTTACATCCTTGGTATTCAAATATTTGGGTTTGAGCGTTTCGGGTGAAGGTAAATCCAAAATAGCGTTTGTGACGCATGACATTGTTTAAGCGTTATCTTCGCTAACAAAGTTTATATAGAATATTTCAACACAGCCTGGATCAATGTAAAAATAAATGTACTTCTATTTTTGACATTCTTGAAAATTATAGGGAAATACAAATATTTATTTGGCATATGTTATAAAAGATAAGTCGCTTTTGATTTCATTAAATTAAGTATAGTAATTATTTTTTTATTAAAACGATGAGAGAACTGTAAAAGGGTTAAACATATTAAAAAGGTAACACTTTCATGTCGGTTAGTATAAATATATTAATATAAGTTGTTTAAAGGAAGACAAAAAAGTTGTAATCTCAATGGAAGTCATTTACATAATGGAAAGTACAATAATCTTAATACTAATTATGCTAAAAAAATCAAATACATTGTTTTAGATAATATAAAAACTAATATTGATATACACTTAATATCACATGCTGCTCTTGATTTGAGTAAAATGTATCATTTTGGTCCAATAATTTTCCTTGCATTGTAATTATTCTGATTTTACAGATACCATCCCAATAATGTCCCTCAATTCTTCACAATCAAAACTACAGTTGATTTGAATTTCACCCTCTGTTTCAGCTACAAGTTCTTCCATAGTACTCCATTCTGACTTAGCAGGAACATCACTATAAAATTCAATAAGTTTGTTGTCATTATGTATATATTCTGAATGTTTGGATAATATGAAATAAATGGGAAACTGCGCATTATCAAATGTTTCAACTGGAATAAATCCTGAATTGTCAATCCTTATAATTTCTGCATGCTGAGATCAATAATGATGTACGAAATACATATAACCAATAAAGATGATTTTAGTTTTTTAACTATACATACTTAAAATTGCTGAATAAAATGAATCTAATATGTATGTAAATATTTGTTTTCTGTGCATTATTTAGAAGGTAAATCTGTATGTATACGGATTATTTTTTTTGCAATGCGTTGTTTAAAACGTAAGCGAAAACAAGGTCCATATTACTAAGTTAAAGCTCGTACTTGATTGTTATTGGGTAATAATCAAAGACATAAAATCGTTCAACTAAATAACAAATCTTCTTAAGTCGAATGTCATTACCTTGCTGGGTTTGATTTATTTTCAATTCCATTTCCTTCGATGAGGTAGGAACATTTAGTTAGAGGTTTTGGTAAAGGATTCTTAAATGTCAGTTTCACTTTGAAAGGATTTCCAACTTTGACCTTTGATGGAACCTAAAACAAATACAAATCATTAAAATTAAACAAACAAACATTAATAATAGAGAGAGCTTAGTACTAAAACATTAGTTTATGACATCCGGAACACCTGAGATCACCCCCAGTTTTTGGTGGGGTTCGTGTTGCTTAGTCTTTAGTTTTCTATGTTGTGTCATCTGTACTATTATTTGTCTGTTTGTCTTTTTATTTTTGGCAATGGCGGTGTCAGTTTGTTTTCGATCTATGAGCTTGACTGTCCCTCTGGTATCTTTCGTCCCTCTGTTAATGTGCCTTTCTTACCTGATTATTCGTAATTGACTGTCTATGTATTGTTTGTCCTTTGTAGAAGTTATGGTTGACTTTGTTAATCTCAGTTAAACTAACTTATTTAAATCACATCAAGACTGAGCTGATATATATATATCAAAGACTCTTTTCTATTGTTGAGGACCAAATGTTGACTTAGAACTGTCTTGTGGTTTTTCTGTTGTTGAGGTCCTTTATAATTGACGTATACCCCATGATTGCCATTTTCAGTTCTAATTTTCAGTGCATATTGTAGTCAACATCTCCAAACAGAGTAGATGATAGAGTGTATTTGTTATGATAAGTCACCATAAAAAGACCTTCCACAGCTAGAGATATGTTGAGGTATTTTGTACATGTAGATTATATGATCTAGGAAATCGTTATTTATAATGTAAACTTGTAAACTTGTAAATTTGTTTGACTGAATATGGTCCAACACATGGTGTAACATCATTAATGTACCTCTATAGTAATATCTGGACGTCTCAAACGGAAATCATCTGTCTTGACGTAACAATTTTCAGTCTCCTTGATATGAGCATATGCCATTATTTCCATTCCAAACAATTCATACATTTTGTCCAGATATTCATCTGTCTTTACTGTAAATTTGACTGTTTTCTCTGAACAAAATGATAGAAGAGGAAGAAACACGATTACATCTTTTGCAGAATCAGACGGAATAATTACTTTTTGAAAAGGTTGAACAATATACAAATAAACTCATCATAGATACCAGGATTGCACCTTTCGTCTACAAAAGACTCATCAGTGACGCTCGAATCAAAAAAAGTTAAAAAGGCCAAATAAAATACGAAGTTGAAGAGCATTGAGGACCAAAAATTCCTAAAAGTTTTGCCAAATACAGCTAAGGTAATCTATTCCTGAGGTAGAAAAGCCTTAGTATTTCAAAAATGTAAAGTTTTGTAAACAGTTAATTTATAATTATGACCATATCAATGATAATTCATGTCAACACAGAAGTGCTGACTACTGGGCTGGTGATACTATCGGGGAATAAAAACTCCACCAGCAGTGGCATCGACCTAGTGGTTGTAAACAAACTCATCGTAGATACCAGGATTAATATTTTGTATTTGCGCCAGACGCGCCTTTTCTCTACAAAAGACTCGTAAGTGACGCTCGAATAAAAAAACGATAAAAAGGCCAAATAAAGTAAGACGTTGAAGAGCATTAAGGACCAAAAATTCCTAAAAGTTTTGCTAAATATATAGATAAGGTATTCTATTCCTGAGGTAGAAAAGCCTTAGTATTTCAAAAATGTAAAATTTTGTAAACAGTTAATTTATAACTATGACCATATCAATGATAATAATTCATGTCAACACAGAAGTGCTGACTACTGGGCTGGTGATACCCTCGGGGAATAAAAACTCCACCAGAAGTAGCATCGACCCAGTGGTTGTAAATAAACTCATCATAGATACCAGAATTGAAATTTTTATTTGCGCCAGACGCGCGTTTCGTCTACAAAAGACTCATCAGTGACGCTCGAATAAAAAAAAAAGATAAAAAGGCCAAATAAAGTACGAAGTGAAAGAGCATTGAGGACCAAAACTTCCTAAAAGTTTTGCCAAATACAGCTAAGGTAATCTATTCCTGAGGTAGAAAAGCCTTAGTATTTCAAAAATGTAAAGTTTTGTAAACAGTTAATTTATAATTATGACCATTTCAATGATAATTCATGTCAACACAGAAGTGCTGACTACTGGGCTGGTGATACCCTCGGGGAATGAAAACTCCACCACCAGTGGCATCGACCCAATGGTTGTAAATAAACTCATCATAGATACCAGGATTGAAATTTTGTATTTGCGCCAAACGCGCGTTTCGTCTACAAAAGACTCATCAGTGACGCTCGAATCAAAAAAAGTTAAAAAGGCCAAATAAAGTACGAAGTTGAAGAGCATTGAGGACCAAAAATTCCTGAAAGTTTGGCCAAATACAGCTAAAGTAATCTATTCCTGAGGTAGAAAAGCCTTAGTATTTCAAAAATGTAAAGTTTTGTAAACAGTTAATTTAAAAGATTGAACCAACCAATAATTTATTTATTTCTTCTAAACATACCATCTGAACATACTCTCCTTTAATTCAACGTTAACAGTCGTTCTCCCTTATAGACCTTGAAATTATAATTGTTCATGGTAATCTTCAAGCCAAACTTTTGAACAATTGGATTACTATTCCTTACCTGTGTTATATTTTCTTTTTCTTTGCTCTTTCCAATTGAGTGAACATTTCAAAGTTAGTTTTATATACTTGAGTTTACAATGACGTCTAAGAATTCAATAAAAGTGAAAATCCAATACCATTTTGTACAGCAGGGATACAGATAATCATAAATTAGTCAAAACGTCAAGTAAATGTTATCACTAATACAGGAATTTACTATAATGGAAGTTTGAATTCACCTACAGCAATTGAATTTAAAACCTGCTCTGTTCAAGATATTAAATTGCTGTATGAAATGAACTCAACGGTACAGACGCCGATATGAGACTGTAAGACGACGTAATTTATATATCAGCAGAAAAGAACTTTGAACGTGTTTTCATGTGCAAGCAAAAAAAGTGATAATGCTTTACTTTTATTTGTATATACAAAATAAGGGGTTCTGAAATGAATGTCAATGAACAACTATTCACCAGAGACCAAAAGACGAGGATAAAACAGCTGAAAACAACTAAAAACATATACCGCATAGGCGGCTATAAAAGGCTCCAGCATGACAAAATGTAAAAAGAGGAAACCAACCGAAAAAAAACAAAGCAAAAAACAACCAACAACTACCACTGAAAGTTATGCTCCTGATGTAGGACATTCACAAGGAATTGTCCATTGATCCGGTATGGAAGTTTTCTCTGAACTGTTTCTAATTTTTATTTACAACAGGAGACGCTTACTGTGTAGCTGTACCCAGTATCGCAAAGGACACCCGATTCCCTCGGTGTTTGTTGATTGGTTGCTTGGTCTGTCTTCTGAATCGATTGATGAGATTTGAACATCGGTAATCTATTGCTGCCTAAACTTATGGAACGTTTTTTAAGGACCGTTTGTTATTCCGCATATCAGGTTTAAAAAGGGGTAGGGTAAAGTGCACAAAACAAAATGCTTAACCGAGTCACATGTTCATGTATCTTTGTCTAGTCTGGAACATAAGTTACATTTGTCTTTAGTGAAATATAACTTTTATGATATCTGAAGAAATTTTGGTGTAAATGACTGATTTCTGATAGTTCCTTTTAACATTTTCACAATTGTCTACACTCTTGACAATTTAGAGCTCGACATATTGCAGAGACACTTGTGATTGTTGATGACCGTATGTTTGGTTGACACCTAGTCGTTTTATTTTGTGTCACTTTATTGATGTCTTATTCCCGATTGTGAATTCGCATGGCTGGTGACGCATGCATAGCAAGAGAGGCTTTCCTGTCGACACACTAAGAATCGCTCATTTAAGATCCATACCATTCATCAAGGCTTTTGTTTGTTCCCTTGAATTTATCTTTCTAATCGATTAATTAGATTTTCACATTGGTAAACTATTGCGGCCTTACTTTATAGAGGTATATACTGCAGCCCCGTTTATTCATATATACTTTAATTTCTTTCATTTCAAACAGCAACAAAAACACTGAAGAAACCTACCTTCATCAAAATCTAGACGAATATCATCAAAACTTTTTTTTATAACATTACGTCTCCCATCTCCAGTATATTTTACGCTATCCACAACTACTTGTAAATGCTTTACAGTTCTCAGTGCCTTTTTCTTTTTGATATTTTTTAGTTTGAGTTCTACTTCGAAGTCATTGCCCACTAAAATACCATCTTTTTCTTCAATCTCCACCGATATATCCTAAAAGGTACAATATATTTAATTATACATATTTAAAAATATCCTGTAAGTATTAATGTATTGAATATATGATTGTTTGTGGAACAAAGTTGTTAACAGCTATTTTGATTTTTTGGATACCTTTGATATAGCAATGGTATATAAATAAAGGCAACAGCAGTATACCGCTTTTCGAAAGTTATAAATCGATTGAGACAAAAACAAATCCGGGTTACAAACTAAAACCGAGGGAAACACATCAACTATAAGAGGAAAACAACGAAACAACAGAAACAGAACAAAAAACAAACGACAATGCAACACACACAGAAACAAACTATAAGATAACAACTGCCGTTTTCCTGAATTGGTACAGTCATAAAAGGTAAAAATGTCAAAATAGGGGTACAGCAGTCAACACCGTGTCACCACCTTAATCACAACAAAAACAAACAAATATTTAACAAAGAAGCACAAAAAGCATATATCACATTTTACAACCTCGTTTATTGCTAACTTATGTTTGTATTTTGTAATGCCTGTTTTGTAAACAATATCTATCAGAGGGACATGCATCCCTTTATAAACATACCATTTTGTCACCTGTAGCAAATACATCACGTCCACCTTTCGCCTCATTGTCGGCATTCTGAACTGCAAGCCGTTCCTCTAAACTACCCTCGGGATACTTGTATTCACTTGTTACATCTAGTCGATATTTTTCTCCGTACCCTCTCCATATAGATGCTTCTCCGTTATATGGTTTTCCGTCTGGTTTCTTTGTACTTATTTTTTTACCAACACTTGAATATAAATATAACATAAAAAGGAACTACCAAACACTCGTATTGGACAGTACAATATACCACGCCAGGGTCGTAGCTGCCGTCATGCAATTTAAGCACGTGCCTACACATAATTTTTCAAAACATGCTCAAAACCCTGACATTTTATTCTTAGATACATAATTTTTTTTTAATGAGTCGTTGGCTTTCAAATAGCTTTCCACTTGGTCTTCATCCGACCTACAATAAAATCCTTGCCAAAGTTGGGCTTACGTTTCGCTGTGCGGGATGTATAAATACGCAGTCACGTCTGGTCAGAATGGGGACATTAAATCCGATGCCTAGTGTAGAGAGATTGTCATGCTTTCTGTACGTTAAGAACAATTGCAACAACTTTTTGAGGAGTTCGTAGGTGGTTCCTTCTACAGGACCTAGCTACCTGTTTTATTTATTGTAAATTTGTTTTTGTCCTGCATTTGCATGAATTATTTGCCACTGCACGTTTAGCAATCAATCAATCAATCAACCAATCAACTAGCTTTCAGTAACTTCGAGTACTCTCAGATCTACGTGTAATTACCATAATAATTCAAATTCCTAAACAGGTAGGGATTTTACAGTACAGCATGTACAGGATATCAGAACATATGAATTTCTTGAATTTTGTTAGATAGTACGAACAGAACAGAACTTCTCCATGAGGCATCGACTGTGTGTGTGTGTGTGTGTTTGTGTGGTCGGGGGAGGGTGAAGGTTTAAGAATCAAAAGATGAATGGTCGATGCCTAGTCCAAAGGAAAGTATTATTATAAAGTATCTCAGTGTTTAAATGCCTATTTTTTGAATGAAGGATCGTCAATATGTACTATCAATTGACGTATATATCAATTATCCTCAATCAGAAAGGAATAGATATGAAATACTAAACAGGATGTACTGCATAATTAAAGGGCTACGCTGATCTACGCTAGGCAATGCATACTGTAAATATTTTTTTTTTTATTTCCGATTGTACTGCCGGTTAATTCATCAGTCAGACGTTATTGTAAAATTATGCATAATTCTTCGAACTTTTCTTCATGTATATTATCATGATAAAATGACCAGTAAATTTTATGTTTCTTTTTATACAAAATTTGCAACTAAAAAGGCCAAAACCGTTTCGCCCCCCTGAACCCCTGGCCTCAATTAGTGCCTACAGTTTATTGGATATCTAGCTACGCCCCTGCACGCCAACTAATAAAACCCACCTTCTACGGAAACGATGTATTTAGCAATTAAATGCAGGGAGAATTATTCAGAGACAAAGAAACTCATAGCCGGCAAACTTGGAAAAGGGGTTACTCCCGTGAAAAATCTCTTTTGGAGGAAATGTTTCCTTATTCAAGCCAAATATTTTGTTTAAAAATAAACTGGTAAACAAATTTGTAGTATGTAAAGCCCCTAAGAAATAATGAATGCCGAAAAGGTTTTTTTCGGTTATCAAAGCAACATGTTTTATTAAACTTTAAAAGTCTTCTAGTGACTATATATAATATTACTATTGAAGTTCATATTTGCCATAAAAAATGTAATTGGATGAAATACGATAGCTCTTAGTGCAGTTCGAGTTTGAGCTCGAGATCATAGTTGATAATTATGAAGTAAGATTCAGCTGTTGTGTTTTCAACTTTAATAATACATGGCATATGCAGGGTTCTCACTAAGGCGAGTCCCTGAGTCATTTTATAGCAAAAGTTTAAAAGAAATCAAAATTTAATTTGATGTCAATTTCTTCCTCTATTTTGTCATGGCGACTTAAATAATAAATAACATAGCAATGAAATTTCACTATTAGACTCGCCATGGCCACAAATGACGAGTCCCTGGACTCGCCTTTAAAAATCCTTTGTAAGAACCCTGTCTATGTTTACATGCATCTTTCTTTAAAACTATAGCAAATGCATACTCGTTACTGTCAATTTTAATGATAACCCATGAATCATTAGGAAGTATTTCCCAATGAACAATATCTGCATTTACTTCGGCAAATATAAAAGGAGCATCAAATGGTCGTCCAATTTCTCCTTTCTTTATAGCAGTAACAGGTGCTGGTCCACACTGGTAAACACCTAAATGAAAATAACACTTTATGAATTTGGTGTGTCAGAAGCTCTTTTCTGAATTTACCATCATCAGGAGCTTTTAGGAGTTTTGTCTTTTTTTTAGTCAATCTAACTTGAGTCTAATATATTCTATTTTTAAAGAACAGGAATTGGCTCTTATTGGTTGGAATCAAAGACTGATAAAATTTCATACAATTTTATGATAGAAAACTGAGCATTGAACAAGACACATCTGAGCTATTGTTACACACAAAAGTCCCAACGCTGGATCAAACAATTAAAAAGGGATCTGAACTGGTCGTTATTGAACCAACACATGCGTTTAGATTAAAGTAAACCTATCAAGAATTGTGCTCTTAATTAAGTGTCGATTTATTATTCATTAAATCCAAAACCTTGACTTCTAGAGATTCAAATATCGTCAAAATCGAAAGGATGCTTGCTTATGTAGAACATTATATAGAATACAAATTTCAGAAAGACGCAATCAAACTATATTGAAACGTGCTACAATTATCCAAAATTTAAACAATGAAATTCCCACCATTCATGAAATTCTAGTTCGCACATTAATTATTCGGTAAAGATATCTTTAGGTATTGTACGACGTAGGTTGGCCGGATGCACAGAGTGATAATGGTTTTATATAATTATTCGTGATACGTTTGTGTGCAATAAATTTCAATATTGTTAGCTATGAAAAACGGAAACCTTGATGAATATATTTAATTTTCACATAAAAAATACTCATTCGTGTGATTAAATAGGTCGTCCAACGGTTATCTTATTATTCAGCAACATCTCCGAGTAACGATATATACAGTATATAAAAAAATCAGATAAGCTGCACAAATTACCTGAACTTAATTCTTGTGGTGTTGCATCAATAACCTGCCAACCATCATAACCTTTACCAAGATCAGGTCTTGATATCCATGCTTCATTCCATACGTGGAAATTCCTGTATTTGAAACATTAATTATTCAAAGGAATAAAAAAGTAATTATGTTAGTTCAGAATATTACCAAATTGAATAAAGAAAACTACAAACCAGTCTTTTAGTGTATATCGCTAGCTGTTTTAGTCAAGTTTCAAAAAGATTCTAATTTTTTTCCGTTAATCATTCATTATCACTTCCTTCAATCATCAAGCAAACACATGTAATTTGTTCCAAGTGGTTTTAAAAATTTTCAAATTATGATTAGCTTTACACAATTCAGATCGATTCCTGGAATGTTTGTAGACTGTTCAATTAATTAAGATTGACTCCTGGAATATATGTAACATATACAACTGTTCTCTTTGGACAGGAAAAATAATGAATGAAAACAGGACAAAGGCTGATTTAATCTTTAAACTTCAATCATACATATATTGAAATGCAAAATGTTTAATCGTACCATATGGAATCACTTGAACCCGCAATGTCAACCTTTTCTAAATCCTCGCCTTTCCTTACGAAAGCTTTATCAATACACGTTGATCCATCCGTATCGTGAGCTGAGGCAAAATTTGTTACGCTTCGTGCTGGCAATCCAATGGCTCTGCACACTAAAATATCAAAACATGCATTAAAATTATTATTTTCATTATTATATTAAGTCCTTTCCATATTAATATGATTGATTGTTGGTTGCTTAATGTCCAGTGGCTGATATTTCATGTACGTCAGGACGATCAATATCATTATGAAAACTAAGGTATTATTTTAACATGTAAATCATGCGAAACTTTCATATTCATATAATGAAAGAATTACCTAAAACAAGAAAAAAAATTATTTTGCATTCGTAGGATTCTTTCTTTTGGTGAAAAATTTCACCAGTATCCGCCTCTCGCAATAAAATATAAAGCAATTAAATGCATTTATCTCCCTTTATGTTGTTACCTGTAGTAGTCAGTCCTGAAAATACCCAACATTGTCCGAACTTAACTGGTGTACCCTGGTTCTTGGCATATTCCTCCAATATTGCCACACTTCCAACCCATTTCATTGGTGGAGTCCCGCCACTGTAATCACCACTCCAATTCCCAATCAGAACACCATTGTCATCTGGAGCATTCACCTTTCAGGACAATAAACAGCATTGTAATCAAGCAATGTTCTAACTTAGAATTAGTTCCGATATTGCAACATGGTATGAACGTGAATCCCATTTTATGCACAATTCAAATTTAGAATAGTTCATGTCTGTACACAGACATTCACAATTGGGTTACACGAAATTTACACTGTTCAGAAACGGATTTAGGTGGGGGAGTCGATAAACTGTTTTAAAAAATATAACCAGTGTCCAGCAAAATTTAAGGGCATGATTCAAACCCCTACGAGCAGGTTAGAAAACATATACACAATGTAGCATCAAAACCGGATCTTGGTACCCCCGAAGCGGTGGAAAAAACTAATGTGAAATCAGGTAAGGTCAAATTCTTCTTTTTTTCATTATATTCCACGTTTTGCTGACAAGTTAAAATTTGTGATACTGATTCCTAATAACGAAGCTACTATTTAGGGCTAATAATGATCCTTAATTGGCTTTACCTTTCTTCAAATCGTCAGAATCGGACCGGGTGGTACCTGTTCAAAGCCGAAGCATCTGACGAGTTCAAACTTGTTAACAAATACTTATCCTTCAACTATTCATTTGACGTTTTCGTAGAATAGAATCATTTCATATTCAAGATTGGAGAACACTGTATTTCCAAATAAACTGTTGTTTTAAAAAAAATCATGTAAATAAAGTGGATAAATTGTACGGCGAATAGCTTTTTATTACTGAACGGGGAATAGAATAGATACTTTTTGCTATCATTGTTTCTATGCTTCGTTGGTACCTATATCCGGTGGTGATGCAATACCATGATGTATGACATTTGGTATCGCGGAGGAATGATTAAATCCATTATATCAAATATAATGGAACTGGATTTCTCAGAGATAATTCGATCAAACTATCATAGTTTAACTGTAGCAATTATTTTAAGGAGTACAAAAAATGTAGCTGTTGAAGGCAAAGAAGACATGACTGTCAATTGAAGGTATTGGCTATTTAAACAATTGTATTTAATCAAATGCCGGTGAAGATTTATCCCCGCTTATAATGATGGGGTTACAGATCATCTTATATGAATAAAAGAAGATGTAAGCCAAGATTCAATGAAACAGCAACCGACTGACACAAGTTAAACAAAAAAAAATTAAATGTTACCAGATGTTTATATTTATTTTGAAGAGTACTGTCAATGTGTAATCACAAGAACTCACCTACAATAATTTTAAATAAATTATAGCAACTTACTGGATTAAGTACTTACCATTTTTGATATTGCACGAGCGAGTTTAATAGGGTCGGACATCGCAGGATCGACTGTGTTGTTGTAGGCCTTCCTAATAAGATGTAAGCATGTGTCAAGTATACCATCGCGGAACTGAAAAGTTTAATGATTGATTATTAAAGTTTAACTGAAATGATTAGTTTCCACTTTTTTGACAATGTATAAATTTCAGATGAGACAGGCCATGATGGCCATGAGATACATTTTCAAAAATATCAAACAAAAACAAGTACATCAGTATAAGTGAATTAATACAAGAAATCAGTATTTTTCGTTCAAAATTATTCTTTAATAAAAATTGTCTATTATCCGTTTCAGTCTTTTTCTAGTCAAATAGTTGAGAAACATTTATTTTACGCTCAAATTATACATATTCAAACTTTTAAATTCAATTTTGAACATGAGAACACAATTTCGAATAACCAAATAGGATATTTTAGTCATACTGCTAAAATGGTTTCATACAATTCATACGCAGTTTCAATTTGTACGACGAAATCATGACAAAGAAACATTTATTTTATTGATATTCGTCTTCAAAATCAAGACAACGTTTTCAAGTCAAAATAATTACCTGTCCAAAATTCCATGGTTTGACTCCCATCTGTCTGTAATTACCACTCCATATGGCACCAGACTCATTAAGTATGTACTCGTTCAATAGTTCCTCTGTTCCCATGTAAACTAGATCATCTGTAAATCATTGATACACTGTTTTGGTAGTAAATATCAGAAGACATCTAGGGCTTATTAAAAGGGGGGGAATTACAGTAGGAAACGGAAGGCTTAATTGGTTGACAGACTCAAAGATGGGTATCATGCTTAGTAGGCAAAAGAACAACTATTATATGAAACATGTATTCTTTATAAAGAGTTATTGAAGTGCACCAAACAATGAGTTGCTTTTTACTTCTGTTAACGATCAGCAAATGATTGATTGATTGTTGGTTGATTAACGTCCAGTGGCAAATATTTCATGGATGTTCAGGTCGAGATGAACAAATGAAAAATAAAACATTCACATCATGCAAGTAAAAAAGTAACATTTTGACGGTTAATTCCATATAGCATTAGAAACAATTAAAATGATCGACGGTTATTAGCCGTCGACATCCATTAAAATCAGATTTTTTAAAGCAGATTTTCTTCACAACAATAAATTTAAATACAAGGAAAAAAAACCTAATAATTCGAAATACTAAATAATGATTGTCTTTACATAAACTGACCTGGGCACCAAGGGTTGAGAAGAATAATAACATCCTCGTTGTGTTTATACGTAAGTATTAACTTGTCTCCGTCTTCTTTTATTTTAGATTCTGTCTGTATTGTAAACCTCCACTCTCCAATGACACAGGTACATGGCGGTGTAATCTCTACTTCGATACTGTTTTCTTTCTTATTCAATAATTTGGCGAACCATTCTTTTTTATCTTCGCCTCTACTACTTGTGTTTTCATGCATGATAATCTGGGCTTGTGTTTTGTTTGAAGGTCTTGGTGATTTACCTAAATACACAGAAGAAAAATATCCAAGCATGATCTAGGTTGTAACAATGTTAATTGTGATATATGAAAGATATTTTTTTCTAGAAAGTCGTGTATATTAAAGGCTTATAAGTCTCCCTTTAGGTCACTTCATTATATTTTTATGTTTCAAATGTTCATGTATACATAATTATGACAAGATGAGAATTAATTTTACTGAAGGAATTTCATTTCCACGTTTGTAGTTAACTCCGCCACATGTGTATGCGCATGTCAAAGGCACGAACCTCGACATCGGTTGTCTTTTGTCATAATGTTGTATTGTGTTGTTATTCCGAGAATTTAGTTTGATGTTTGATCGTTCAAAGTCTACGTTATCTTTATTCAGAATCTTTCTTAGACTCGTGCCGAGGCGATTTAAAAGAGGAAGGGCCAATTTATTCTGTTTTTGTTTAACTCAAATGGTCTTAATATAAAGGTATTCAAATAAAACTGGAAGATGAATATTATAAAGTCTATATCATATAGTTGAATATTTATTCATCAATTTTACATATTTCCATAAAGTCAAAATACTATTCAGCGTTAACGTTGAGGGCATTTTGACACAAAATTGCCAAATTACATTTTTTTTGTAAAATTTTGCAGTGAAGGACATTGCTAAAAAAAAACTTTCAACATGGTTTTGGTTTTAGTTTACGAAAATACACAACATTTGCCAAAAACCGTCAAAATTGCATTTATGGGGCTATCATCTTGTGTTTATTATAAGGTGATCCGTTTTGAAATAAGCCATAATATTGTTGAAACCTTATTAGCCCCCTTTTTAGAGTACACACACTGGGCTGTAATACTATGAATTCAAGAAAGTAAAAATTAGAGATTCTTTGAAAATGACCTGTTTCAGGTAGGGTGAAGGTTGGCGCCTATTTAAAACGTTTAAACCCGCTGCATTTGTTTGCACCTGTCCTAAGTCAGGAACCTGATGTTCAGTGGTTGTCGTTTGTTGATGTGGTTCATAATTGTTTCTCGTTTCTCGTTTTTTATATAGATTAGACCTTTGGTTTTCCTGTTTGAATGGTTTTACACTACTCATTCTTGGGGCTCTTTATGGCTTGCTGTTCTATATGAGCCAAGGCTCCGTGTTGAGGGCAATACTTTGACCTATAATGGTTTACTTTTACAAATTGTGACTTGGATGGAGAGTTGTCTCATTGGCACTCATACCAAATCTCCTTATATCTATTAGAAAGAAACAAATTTCAAGGAAATTGGACCTACCTCTTTGAAATATTGAATGGACACCTGTCTATTAATGAAGACTGTAAGTAGACAAAGTCATAAAGATGTCTATTAGTTACATATATGTTTACTGCTTAGTTGCTTTCTCATTGACGTTTACCCCCATGTAGTCATCAGAACCTATTTAAAACGCAGTGGTCAAATGTACATATTAAACACACTTATCTATTCCTAGAAAACTTTACGTATATAAATTTTTTCTACTACTATGAAATTCTTTTTAAAGGCACACGTTCTAATGCGTTTTTCTCACTCTAAACCAACTTGTTTCTGCGGATACTTTATTTCGTATTTAACCCTTTCTAGCCCACTTCGCAATTTTCAAATTCACTTGATGTGGTTAAATAAGTAAAGTAAAAGTTTTACATTATATGCGCAACGATTTATATTCGCGTTATTTTTTCTTCTCGCGAAAGTAGCGAAAATTAGTTAGTTTACAGTAACTTGACCATAGATATATTTATAACCTGTTTTGAAGGTGAACAGAATTTCATTTTGGTCGTTATTATATGGCCTGTCAAAAGTAATGGTCATTTTAAAGGATTGTCCTCTCCGAATTACAAGGTCTGGATCCTTCTTCCTCTTTGTGCACATGTATTTATCTGTGTGGTGATCTTCCGTGTTACTTTTGATATTCAAATCAACCTTGTTCACGTGAAATTTCTTGTTGACTTCTTCATCTTTTTCTGGAATAGTAAAATACCTATTGCTTTTTAATTTATGAATTTTTATTCATTTAATTTTCGAATTTAACTGTATTGTGTAAAATATTAATATGCCATTTTACGGCAATATTGTTTACCGTGCCCGGAAATTTAGAAACGATCCTGGTAAACTTATCGATCCTTTAAATAAACTTACTCTAAAAGGTTACCAATTCAACACTGTAATTAGATCATTAAATATTGTTTTTATTGGTACTGATATTGATTTTGTTGTCAGTAAATTAAAAGCAAACTAAATATTATTGTTATATACATATACACATTCATGGATCTACAATCTGTCGATACCTGTGTCTTGGCATTGCGCAAGGTCATGTTTTTCTCTGACTGTTAATGACGTCTTAACACTAAATCCATTGGATGTTGGATGTGTACGGATTGATAATTTAGTCTTGGATGCATGATTTTTTTTATTAGTTGTTAGTGGCTTTGAACTAGCTGTCAGTAACTGCGAGTACTCTCAGGTCTGTACTTAGTATCTTTTTGTTGTTTGGATGTACAAGTACCCGACCACGTCCACTTGTATTTGTATTTTTATCCATCTGATGAGTTTAGTCTTTTTCAACTGATTTTTATAGTTCGTTCTTATGTTGTACTGTTACACCACTGTACCAGGTTAGGGGAGGGTTGGGATCCCGCTAACATGTTTAACCTCGCCACATTCTGTATGTATGTGCCTGTCCCAAGTCAGGAGCCTGTAATTCAGTGGTAGTCGTTTGTTTATGTGTTACATATTTGTTTTTCGTTATTTTTTTGTACATAAATTAGGCCGTTAGTTTTCTCGTTTGAATTGTTTTACATTGTCATTTCGGGGCCTTTTATAGCTGACTGTGCGGTTTGGGGCTTTGCTCATTATTGAAGGCCGTACGGTGACCTATAGTTGTTAATTTCTGTGTCATTTGGTCTCTTGTGGAGAGTTGTCTCATTGGCAATCATACCACATCTTCTTTTTTTATATAATAACCACAGACATATAGTACAAAGTCTCTGGTGCAACTAAGGAAAATAAGAGTACATGTACTAAAATAGACAATACAACTACGCACAATAAAAGCTCCAACTTTATAAGTCACGATTTGTTCGATCTTCTCATTTGGCTTATTTCATAGATTTAGATAATAATTGTAAACTTATAATTTGTAACAGTAAATGAATAAGCGCACATAGACAGCATTATAAGGTTATAGCTTCAATCCAAATAGATTAACAAAAAGACATCATATTTGCGTAAAATGTAATAAATTGTAATGCATAGATGCCAAAATTAAATCATTGTTGACATTTTTACCACAAACAATCCAATAATTTGTATGTTATGTTATGGTATGTTATGTTACCAGGTATCGTTATTTTATGAAACTTTGTTTCAGTGTTCTTCTCCTATATCTTACATGTTTGATGGAAAAGAAAGGAATTGTTCACTTAACAGATTTTTAAATATTTTTATAGAAACAAAATGAGGGAGGTAAATACCATATAAGATATGTGTACAATTAGCATACCGGTATTTCCAATTAAAGATATCTAGTACAATTAGCATACCGGTATTTCCAATTAAAGATATCTAGTACAATTAACATACCGGTATTTCCAATTAAAGATATCTAGTACAATTAGCATACCGGTATTTCCAATAAAAGATATCTAAAGATAATGTATTAATTGTCACTTTTTCAGATGCGTTTTATTATATATATACATTGTAAGTAACTAAAGGCAAACAGATTACATTACCAGGTTCTCTAAGTTCCTCGTCTCTTTCGTCTCTCGTAACTTCTCGGCTTTCATTTCTGTTTTCCTCGCGTCTTGTTCTCCATTCATGATCCCTTTCCCATGGATATGAATAATCAGGTCTGCGGCTATATCCATAATAGAGGGGATTAAATGTACTGTCGCGGTATCTGTTCCCATAGCTGCTATATGGGCGAATATCGCTATCATCATATGAACGACGTGTGTAGTTCGATCTGTAGGGGTCGCGGTCGTAGTAAGTTCTTCTAAACATATTGGTCCTTAAAAGAAAATCTGTAAATGTAATCAGATCAGATGAATCGTATATACGAATAAGACATGTACAGCAGCTCGTTGTAAAGATAAAATACATGTCACCTTCATTGTCTTCTTTACACACTCACTCAAAATAAACCCGATATAATCTTTCAATACACAACATTTATTCACCTATTTCTTTTTTTATTTTCGTCGATTTTCGTTCTTTTTTTCCACGGCTTTGTCAGTTTCTCATTTACTTTGATTGTTCCCTTGATATATCTCGCCTTTTTTTCTATCTATAAAAGGCATAACGATGAAGATGAACAAAGAAGTGAAAATGCGAAAAGTTTTTAAAAAGTGTTGTTTTTACATCCTTTTATTTGTCAAATGGGTCATTTTCAAAAAAATATCGAATTTTGAAATTGAAAAATTTATTAAAAGTTACTTATTCAAACAACCTTCTACATAAGCAAATCAAAACAAACAGTACTTATAGAACAACATATTAAAAGATGCAATCTTAATAATGTCATACAAGAATATCTTGGAACATTTTTTGATAGGTGGTACAATATTTTGTCTCTCCTGTTACCATTTTCAAAAGAAATTTTGGATTATTTAGAAAAGGTTTAGATAAAATTTTAAGCTTGTTTTTCGTAGCCAATTAGATGGTTTTCAAGAGAATAAACTTCTATATATATTCATTTTGTGAAATAATAGATTATTTGCCAATTTTCCAGGTTGTACTGAAAAATGCCTCTAAAAATTGGTTTCAAAGGTTGTAAAAATTACCACCAGTAATGCAAGTCTAAGATAGAATTCATATTGTTCGGCATTTTTTCTCTCTTTCAAATAAACCCAACATCAAGTAAATCCCTCACATTATAGTTTACTTTTGTCTTTATTTCATTGGTAACAGGAACGTACGTTAATGATATATCACTATATAATGTTCTATCCTGTTACCTTTTTGTCTATCCTGTTGCCGATATCAGTATTGCACATGCAAATGCTAAATTGGGAAGATTAAGACGTTATAACCTTAAGATGCGTTTAAACAACGAAAGATTTCATTCTGTTTACAACTATATGTTATGATAAACTTTTTAACTACGTTTCTGTCTACAATTGTCTATCCTGTTACTGTAACCATAGTAACCATAGTAACAGGATAGACAAATTTCTTCATTTTCGAATGCTGTTGTGAAATAACTACTCCCTTTGGTGAGGTGATAATGTTTTTCTGTTGTGAATTTGGTTTCCAACACGCTATTGCACTTTTTACAAGTATACTTTTGGTGTAATTAATCAAAATTGTTGGTAACAGCATAGACATGAAAAAAAGTACTCTCTATTTTTTTTCACTAAATGTCTTGAAATTTCTTTTCTCTACACTGTCGTTCAAGAAACGTGCTATGTTAAATGTAAAGGTTACTTTGCACTTTTGAAATCAACACTGACTAATTCAATATCCATAGGGAGAATAATTTAACGGCTGATTTAAGTAGCGGTAACAGGATGGACATGAACTTTATGTACGCGGATTGAATTAAGTTTGTAGATAAAATGTTACATATAATGATAAAGAAGCTACGATTTTTCGTTAGAGTAATTATTAACGTTCTTAAAAAGTCCCTTTTGCAGATATCAAGGCGATCAGAAAATCGGAAAAAAATCATTTGAAATGTAATTTTCTGAAACTGTACGCGCACAAATTACCCCAAAATCGGACTTAAATACATTTTAATCTTATGAAAATAGATGTAAATCGTGTTTATTATTAATGTTCTGAATCATAAATTCTACAAGCTTTCATTTAAACAATTACAACTGAAATTTCCATTAGAAATAAAAAATTTAGCATGGGTGTACTGAAAATTCGACATTTTTTGAAAATGACCCAAATACTGACTCTATTTATCCATACTCTATAAGTGTATGTGTATAGCGATGTGTTTGTTTATTCTACATTGGCTAGAGGTATAGGGGAGGGTTGAGATCTCACAAAACATGTTTAACCTCGCCGTATTTTTGCGCCTGTCCCAAGTCAGGAGCCTCTGGCCTTTGTTAGTCTTGTATGTTTTTTTCGGCGTTTTGCATTTGCGCCGATTTGCATTTCATTTGCGCCGATTTTTTCATTTGCGCCGATTGTGTACAGGTAGATTACAGATGAATGTTATTTCTTATTTATCATTATAAATCTCTTCTGTTGACAATTATAACATGTATATAGCTGTTGGCCCCTGCTCACCACGGGGAGGTGAAAAAGGATTTCAAGCAATAGAAGTCAATTTATGCGAATGAAACGATTCAGGACTGTTATTCGTCCTCTTACAATTTTCAACGAGTGTAGCTGCCCAGGAATAAGGTGAATAACGTGCCCAAAAATTGAGATAGCCATTTACCAGTGTCACTTGATTTGTCTTTATACTCTGTTTAAAAATGTATACTTAAACCAACAGACTGGATTTTCATCCACCAGTTTATGTGCCAGATGAAAACGACAACAATATTTTTGCAGGGGACAACAGTTATATACATGTTATAATTGACAATTTATAACATATGTACAACTGGCTAACGGAAGAGGTTTACATTGATAACTAAAAAATAACATTCACCTGCATGTAATTTACCTGTACTTAATCGGCGCAAATGAAAGAATCAAATCGGCGCAAATGAAAGATCGAAACTTTTTTAAATTGGCGCAAATTTCATACGCCCGTTTTTTTAAATTTTAGTTCATGTTTCGGAGTTTAGTGTGACGTCCATTTTCATTGACCTAGTACACATTTTGTTAAGGGGCCAGCTGAAGCCCGCCTCTGGGTGCGGGATTTTCTCGCTGTGTTGAAGAACCATTGGTGGCCTTCGGCTGTTTTCTGCTCTTTGGTCGGGTTGTTGTCTCTTAGACACATTCTCAATTTTATTGTAAGAATACTCTAGAAAATATGAATTCCTGTGTTAAAGAGAGGCGGAACATACCAAAGGGGTATTGATGTGTGTTTGTTTTTTCTACATTGGCTAGAGGTATTGGGGGAGGGTTGGGATCTCACTAAACATGTTTAAACCCGCCGCATTTTTGCGCCTGTCCCAAGTCAGGAGCCTCTATCCTTTGTTAGTCTTGTATAATTTTTAATTTTAGTTCATTTTTATGTTTCGGAGTTTAGTATGACGTCCATTTTCACTGAACTAGTACACATTTTTGTTTAGGGGCCAGCTGAATCCCGCCTTTGGGTGCGGGATTTTCTCGCTGTGTTGAAGATCCATTGGTGGCCTTCGGCTGTTTTCTGCTCTTTGGTCGGGTTGTTGTCTCTTTGACACATTCCTCATTTCCATTCATTTTATCATAAACAACTGCATTGATAAAAACGAAAAACGAACAAAAGACAAACCACATTATATCATACAAAACACAAAATAGAAAAATAAAGACTGAGCGATACGAACCCACGCAAAAAAAAACCGGAGGTGATCTCAGGATCTCCGGAAGGGTAATCAGATTCTGATCAACATATGTCACAAACTCGGTGATCTGTCTAATTGGTAATAAGATGAAGTTTGCTTAGAATAATGCAGCCTAAACCACTCGGCACGCAATGACCCTATTGACAAAAAGTTAGCTCACTGTGCGTGCGCACTTGGCCTTCCTGTGAATATCTAAATTCATACCAATACAAGGTAGATTATTTGATTTGAAGAACTAAAATATATTGCCTTGTTAAAGTTAAAAAGCATAATCTTATATAAATGTTATACTAAGACAATGACAGATATATCATTATAATATTTAAATACAAAACAATTACCATCACACATCAGCTTACTCTCAACGAACCAATACACTGACCAAGTTATCTATCAACTGACCATTTATAAATTTCCTTACAACGGGAAATAAGTCTTCGCTTAACTGAATGACGCACTTGATTATAATGGGATACATATTTTATTACTTTTTATCATTAGTTTCTGTTTTCACAAGGAAAATTAAAGGAACTTTAAGTCTTCTAAAACACATCATTTAAAAAGGGCGAACAAAATATTGATTTGTTATAAACCTTTATGTCATATTTGCTTCCGTTAAAGGTTCGTAGCGAGGAAGGATTTGTTTGCATATATCAATTATATCCACGACTGCAATATTATTCATCTATATGAAAATAAGTGTCTTGTTTCTTCATGCGGCAACACATATTTTCTGGTCAAATGGGAAACAAATCTAGAACTGTATTTAGATTAAAAAAAATCAAACGGACCCACAAAAAATAACATGAAAGTCTTGCTGAACTTATAATTTACCTTATAATGGGATTTGTTCAGGGCTAAGTTACCTAGAGTTGCTAACATGCTTACATCATATTGTATGTGATAGATAATGTTTTCCTTTAAGAAATTTAACCACATCTCCGTATTTTTTAATAAAGTTATGACTGTAAACAAGAGAGGCAGAAGATAATTTCAGTTGACTTTCTCGTTACAATACTGGAATACGTTTCAAAGTCTTATATTCTGAAAGACTACCAGTTTGACGAACATCTAGATCTTTGAAGCAATTTTTTTTTTTAATTTGAATTTTTCGTTTATTTTTATTTTTTTTTGTCTCTTTGCAGTATCTTATATTTCAAAGTATCAACTAAACGTGGGCTGTAATGATTAACTGCAAAAATATAACTGGTGGAAAGTAAATCATACATATATCTTAAAATAAAATTTAAGAATTTTGCCAGAAACCTTTTTGTCGTTAAGAAGTTTTCATATAAATCTTTTTAATGCGATTACACAAAAAGACGTCGCCGACTTGTAAGGGGAAACAATTCGAAAAAGAATGGTAAAAAATCCAAAGATATATTCGAACTCATCAGTCGAAAACGAACAGAAAGCTACGAAAATCATGAAGCGACTTAGGTAACAGGTACGCAAATGGGCAACCAGGTACTTTTAGTCGCATGGATTTACGAAGTAAAATGAAATATAATACTTCCATGGTAATACATAGAAACGTAACTGTTTTTCTTTCCTTTTTGATTGGTGGTAAAATAAAACACGAAGGCTTTTATGATTTATGATTCATTGCATCGATAATATATACATGCTTTACATCTATTTTGATGATATTATTAGGATTTCATTCTCGTTTTTAACGCAAGTTTCATGCGTACGGTGTCAGAGTACCGTAATTCAAATGTTTTTGTCTGTTTTCTGATTGATCTGAACACTGCAAATTGTAATATATTGGTAACTAAATAATATATCTTACTAACAGAAAAACACTACTTATTTAGTATTCGATGGAACATTTTTTTCTACAAATTAAATTTAGTCGGCGTACATGAGTATGTCTATCCTGTTACCGATACTTATCTAGATCAACTGTGAAATAGTTTATCCCTATAAATATATATAGAACTTTATTGTGATAAGTTCAAAAGCTCATTCCATTATTTAAATTTCAGACTATACTTTTCTTGCATAACAGTGCAGCAAAAAAAAAGTAGTGATTTAGAAAGTGAAATTATGTGGTTGCCCAGCTGTTACCAACACATTCATCATCCAAAACAATGATACACTTATTTAAAGAACAATTTCGTCTCGGAAAACGAGATCACAAAAGAAAACAGAGTTAGGTTTTAAAAAGGGAGTATTTCACAGCAGCATTCACAAATATAAAAATTTGTCTATCCTGTTACAGGCTTAAACATTCTATCATGTTACTATTATTTAAGCAACAGGATTGACAATCCTTGTCTGAAACCTGTTCAAATAGTTCATAATTGTATCTTTCATTTCCACAAAACTATAGGTTTGTTCATTTTAACTCATCTAAAGGTTACACCATCTTCATTGTCCAAAAATAACACCGTAATTTGCAGCACTTCTTATTCGGAACAGGATAGAACTACATTTGGCGTTATATAGTAAGCGTACGTTCCTGTTACACAAAAATAATCGCAAAATTAAAACTATATACGATGGAAATAATCTATATTGTAATGATTTTTTTAGAGAGATAAAACAAAACTGTATATGAAGGACTGGTCTCGAAGACTTGCCATTTGGTTTTTTTATACCCCCGCTTTAAAAAAGGGGGGTATACTGTTTTACCTCTGTCTGTCCATCCATCCATCCATCCGTCAGTCCGTCCGTCCGTCCCATGAATATTTTTCGTCGCATCTTTCTCAGGAACTACATTACCAGGATTTCTGAAATTGGTTTTCAGGGGTTATATGAGTCAGCTATACCGTGTGATGCGTTATCAGATTCATCACTTATCAACTTCCTGTTTACCGAACATTTATATCATTTTATACATGACATCCAAGTTGAAAATTTTAGTCACATTTTTCTCAGGAACTACATTACAAGGATTTCTGAAATTTGGTTTCAGTGTTTATATAAGTCAGTTTTATGGTGTGATGCGTTTTCAGATTTATCACTCAACAACTTCCTGTTTACCGTCAAGTATTTGGGCTGGGGGTATCATCAGTGAGCAGTAGCTCGCAGTTTCACTTGTTTTACAACCTCTGCAAACCAATTGTTAGTACAACATTAAATTTCAGTACAGAGGCAGAAATTGTATATATACCTTTTCCCTAAATACCACTTTATTGTCAATGAAAACACTTGAATTCGTATTCCTATCAATACTAAAAAGTCGAAAATATGCTTTCTGAAAATTGTAACTACAGGATAGACAAAATATTGCACAACCAACAAACAGTGTTTGAAATAAATACTTGTATGACATCTTTAAAATTGCATTTAAAATTGCATTTTATAAAATAGTGTTCTGAAAGTATTTTATGTTTTCATTTTTCCAAAAAATAATAATAAATAGTTTAAGCAAATTCATATTATCAAATATTGCATCTTAAAAAGTCGATATTTTCAGAAAATGACCCATATAGTGGTGAAGTAGAACATAGCTTTAATCCATACATTGGTGTAGAACAAATTTTCGAAATTTCTAGGGGATGGATTTATGGTCAAATATAACAACCTTGCTGTTAAGGGAATGGATGAAACCGGATGCAAAAGGTTCTGTTGCAGAAACTGGCGAAGATACATAAACGACACAGAGTGATCGACGACTGCTCACTTGCCTATAGAATACAAACCCACTGGCGGACAGGTAGGGCGATTACAAACAATGACTTTCGGTATGAAATTTTATTTTCATTTTCAAATGACGGAATAACAATTAAGATACCACTTTTAAAGTCTGACTCCGACTGAAGCCCAAACTTTAAATCATACAGTCAATGTTTACATTTTGCCACAGAATTAGGATCAACATATTAACAACAAAATTGAGAAAGTTTACACAACATACAATTAGCACTTTAAGTAGGCTTAAGGGCAACAATAGACGATGATTGAAAAACGGTTTAATATTATATCGAAAAGATATATGCATTTACTGATTAATACAAGATTGAACTGGTAAGCGTAAATTCACATAATCTCTTAAAAGGTAGGGGGTTTTCAACAATATTACAAAGAGACAGTGACCTGATAAATCCTAAATAAAACGAAAAATAACAAAGTTGTTCAAAGCATTACGACTTTTGGATTCTAAAATGTCAGAAAATAAACAGCATTAATTATAAAAGTTTTTGATTTTTAATACTAAGTAAACTAAAAGTCCAATTGTTTGAAACCAGAGAAACACAGATTTCAATAAATTGTTTTATCTATCATGATAGTATCTATAGAGATTTATTACTTTTTTTCAGGGAGGCATTTTTTTTCTTCAAAATCAATAACGTCCATTAAACATTATCAGCACGTGGTGATAGCACGCATATAAAAAAAAATAAAACCAAATCGCTTAGAATTGGCCTTGAACCTTTGACCTCAGACCTAAAGCATAAATAACTCGGTGTTTGTATGCATTGGTATTGCATTCGCCGATGTAGCCCATACGTATCGCGTTGAACGTTTTTCTATTTGCCGTCGCAAATATACCGTGGCCTTGAATTATTGTAAAATTTGAAGGAATCGTTGGAATCTAAGAATTCCCATCTTTGTATTTCCATGTCACTGAAACATTGCTTTTCCTTAACTACATAATCGGGATTCAATAATTAATATTTAAAAAATAATGCTTTATATCAAGGGATTGTATACGATACAAATAAAATATTCTCTTACCTGTTTTAATCCCTTTTTAAGGTAATATATGTATATGAAAGATGTTTGTTTATAACCAACGTTTCCCCAGTTACTCGCTCATCATTTTTAAAGGACGTGTTTACTCGGGTAGAAAAGTTTTTAAATCAATAACAACACATTCACTTCTCGATAGACAACCGTATATAAAATGTACGTAATTAAAAAACTGTCCGACTTTTTTGGGGTGTTATATCCTGTAACTCTATATTTTTGTAGCTAAATATAGCAATAACTATATATTTATAACTCTTTTTTATTGATATCCAACAATAAGCTGTGACAATACGGGTATTGACAGGATAAATTATATCAAGCGATTAATAAGAATATTAAACAGATTATAGTTATTCATCCTTTAAAGAAAGCATCCATTTCTCGAATGCCTAGGCAAAATGAATATGCTTTAACAAGCTGATAATTTTACCCGTGCACAGCTTTCTGCAATGTTTTCTCTGTATATAAGTTAATAAGAACATTTATTTTTTCTGACTGACCTTGACAGTGCTTACAAATGTACTTATTACAACAAATAGTAACGAAAAATCAATCGCATAACGGAAACTCATTTAACCGTCACGGTGTTGTTATTTTCTTAAAGGTTAATTAAATAATGTAATTGCGTTTAATAATGTAATTGCATTTTACGTCACAATTATTCAATACACAAAACGTAATTACATTTAATGTTGTTATAATTAAACATATCTACCCGACTTAATAAACATC